CAAACTAGACCCTAAGAAGCTTCGCCCCTAAAAGACTACTTGCTCGCATATTTTGCGCACCCTGCACCGTTCTGCGCCAGCTCGCCAACCGTTTCTCCAGACACCCCACAGGCGCGGGAGCTAAAAGCTGCAGAAATTCCACGCGACCGCGAGAGGAGTGAGAGAGGCGAGAATGAGACAAAGATGCGACTCTGCGCTTCTCTGCAAGAGCTACGGGACGCGAGCGCGCGCGTTGCTGACTCAATGCTGCGAGGTGGTAGGCCTGCAAGGGAGCATGACGTCACGCTCTGATTCCCGGATGTGGGAAATGTTGTGCGTGTCAACGTTATTAGATTAGCTCAGTTACAGAACTGCTCATAGACGCCGCATGCATGAACAGTACCCCCCTCACTCACCACGACTTGCCAAGCGTCGCTCGTTTCGCCGCCAGACGGCTGTGCTTTGGTAACTGAATCAGGATATGTACCTTTCAACGTTAGTAGAAACGTAAAAACCAACGGAAAAAAACTCTTTTTGTAGTAACTTTTATTGGAGTTCAGTACAAAATGAGGGGCGCGTGATGTTTTCTAAAATCTTTAGTTTGCAAGGTTTTGCGGCACAAGTAATATTGCTTTCAAACAACCATGCCTCAGCGGTGATTTCAGGTAGCGCATCCCGACCTAGGCTTATCTTAACTTCGGGGTAAATTCACGACGCGTCTGCTGGGGAGACGGGGGTGGCATCCCTGTAACCCTTTTCCCTGTATCTGTTGCAGCTCCGAAATGGCCGATTAAAGCCAAAATAGATGTTAGGTGCAGTTCCTCGAGTGACCGCTGCAGGATAAATGGCGGCGTTGTGGTCGCCATTTGGCGCTTCAGCTCGGCTCTTTGGAACGCAAAGTTATGAAACGAAAATATAGATGGCGCTTCGAACGACGGCTGGCAGATTAAAGTGGGGGGGTACCCCCCTCCGCGGGAGTTCCACAACTGAGGTAATCTAATAATGTTGGTGCGTGTCTATGTGTCGTGTGGTGTGCGCTTGCGGTCGTGTGGAGTGGCGGTGGCGCGAAGTCTGCGACATCTGCGACTCCAAAGCGCATGCTTCCCGTTGTTCGGATTGTGTGGGTCAAGTTTGACGCCGTCAACGGTTTTCTCGGCGATTGCTCTTCCGATGGGTTACAATAACTATACACTCCGTGCTACGCGACCGGCGCGCCGCCGAGCAGCCGTTACCGAAGGTAGGCAGTGAGAACCCCAGAGGAAATGAAACTGAAACCACGCCACGTACGTTGGTACGCATTGAAGTCGGAGCGGTGCGGTTGCGCTGGGTTCAAAGCATGAAGTGCTGCCGGTGCTGCGTCGTTAAGTACTTCAATATTTATGCACAACCATTCAGTTTTTCACCTCGCCGATCTTCTGTGGGACAGCAACAACGATGGACCTGTGCCATACTACGCGAGAAAATTTAGTCTCCCGATCATATCTGCCGCTGTGTCGGCATGGCTGACATGTTCTACACTGCCGCTTTGCACTCTGCATTTGTTTTCGTACCAGTGACGCCTACATGTGTTGGCACCGATGGGACGAACTGAAATGCCATTCCACACTTGCAGGTATGCAGTGCCAATTTCGTTGGAAGAATGCCCTCCAAAGAAGTTTCGTCCCCATCTACATGTCGATGATATTTCCGGACAAGTATGGCACGCAATCTGTACTTCTTGCAGAAAGATTTGAACGATAAAAAAAAAAGTGAAAAATATGAATCTAAGGAAAACTACAATGAAACTCTGAATCACTGGAGAATCCACGATTGAGTATGGAAGTTTATGTGGTGTGCTTTCTTTTTTGATCAGCCTCCTTTTGGATGTGGAAACGCTGACACCCCGAGTTCTCTAGACAACAATGTTTTTTCTCGGCTTTAGAGCCACCTATCACATAGGTGTTCGAACGGGAAGTACCGTCCACGGGTCCCTTCCTACCTGTAAAGTGTGCACCTCCCACGATGAGCGATATTATCTTGACAGCCTTTGACGGTCAAAACTGGTTCCCATTTAGTTACGTCGCTCAAACTAAATTTCCACTTGGTTTCGTTATGCCACCTCTTTTTGGTATAATAAGTGTTGTGTCAAGTTACAATCATGTTAAAGTACCTATGTGCCGAAAATCAGCACCTCGCGCAACAGGTTATTACACAACAGCTGACTGCAAAAGCCTTTGACGGCCAAACCGTGTATTTGCCGACAACTTTGTTTTCTCGGCTTTAGAATCACCTTTTGTAAAGTTGTTTCAATTGGAAGTACAGTCCACTAGTCCCTTTTTACCTGTAAAGTCTCCACCTTCCACGACGAGCGCTATTTTCTTGACAGCCCTTTCATGGTCAAAATCGGTTACCATTGAGTTACACCGCCCAAATCAAATTTCTACCTGGTTTCCCTATGCCACCTCTTTTTGGTATAATAAGTGCTGTATCATGTTACTGTCAAGTCCAAGCACCTGTGGGCCCAAATCTGCACTTCGCACAGCCCGGTTATAACACAACATTTTGGGTCCAATATTGGATATCTTGTGCAGCATTATTAATTTATTCGTTAGAAACGTAACTTTCACACCTGCTCTTGGCACACTTCGTGCACAAACTTAGTGAACATCTATCTCACCTCCAAATATCATCGTTCCAGCAGTCCTGTTTACAGCGACGAGCAAAACAAATTTCCCACTCAGAGCAATTGTGACGGCCGTCTTGCTTTTCGGAAAATTGCTCCAACCCCTTTTTCAGCCGCAACTAGAGAAATTACCCCTAATAAAGACTCAAACGCAATATATAAGAAGTGGAGAACAGCTAAATGCCCTTCTTAGGTCTACCCCAGCACTTATGCAACGTCACCCTCAACATATCAGCTCAAAAAGCAAAAGTGTCATCCATGCGTGCTTCCGTCACCACAGCTTCGCATGCGAAAAGGTGCCGCAGGCTGCTGAACGCGCCTCACTGTCGAACGCCAGCTCCTTCGCTAGCGGCGCTACGCGCATTCTTCAAAGCGCCCCCTATAGTTCCCGCACGGAGCGTATACAGCAAAGTTGAAGCTCCTCGTGATCAAGTTTGCTCAGGAAAATGGAAACCGCGCTGCTGCCAGGCAGTTTAGGGTGAGCGAGAGCCACGTACATTATTGGCGAAGACAGAAGTCGCAACTGGCAAGTGCAAGACCGGGAAGAAAAGCGTTTCGGGGGCCGAAACGAGAGAACTTTCCTGCTGTTGAAGATGAACTGCTGTGGTATTTTCGTGATCACATGTCAGCTGGTCACGCCGTGTCGTGCGAGATGCTACAGTTTCAGGCAAGAAAGATTGCACAAGAAAAAGGTATCTCGGCAGCAACGTTCAAGGCCAGCAGAGGATGGGTGACACGCTTCATGAGACGCCACCACTTGTCTCTGAGACAACGGACGACTCTCTGCCAGTGTTTGCCCGAAGACTATGAAGAGAAGGTGTTGGCATTTTATCGGTTTGTGATCGCGTCGCGGAAAACGGAGAGCTTCATTATGTCCCAGATCGGGAACGCGGATCAAACGCCGCTGACCTTCGATATGCCAACTAACATTACAGTAAGCCAAAGAGGTGTCTCAGCTGTTCCTGTAAGAACAACTGGCCGTGAAAGCAATGCTGCACTGTCATGCTGGCGATAACTGCTGATAACTGCCCTTCGTCATTTTTAAGTGCAAGATGTTGCCAAAAGAGAAACTCCAAGGTCGCATACATATCCGTGTTTATGAAAAGGGATGGATGAATGAAGCTTTAATGCAAGACTGGATTGAAACTGTTTGGGGAAAACGACCAGGCGCTCTGTTGCGACGATTATCGCTGCTGGTACTGGACAGCTTCAGGGGTCACCTTGTCGACACCGTGAAGCAAAAGTTGCGAGACACGAAAACAAACCTTGTTGTCATCCCGGGAGGTCTAACATCAGTTCTACAGCCCTTGGATGTGTCAATCAACAAACCGTTCAAAGACTAGGTGCGCAAACCCTATGTAGAATGGATGGCCAGCGGAGAACGCAGCCTCACTCCCAGTGGAAGGATAAAGAGGCCGCCCTTGGAAATTGCCTGCGAGTGGGTTCAAACACCGTGGGACAAGGTCTCTCCCAGCATTGTCGAGTCAAGCTTCAAGAAGACGGGACTATTAAACGCGCTCGACGGAACTGAAGACGATGCTATTTGGAACGCAAGTGACGACGACAACCACGACGATCGCAGCCACGATACCGAGTGCGAGAGCTCTCCCAGCGACCCGGAGTGAACAAAGCAGGTGCGTTTCGTAAAATAAAAGAAAATAAACTTGCCGTTTGTATATTTGTATTTTTATATACATTACAGGCCTTTGCAGATGTGTTATTTGAGAGGTGCTCGCGAAATATCCGCTTAATTTGTGCACCCCCTTTCTGATGACGAATATTGAAAAAAAAAAGTGCGCAAATTATGCGAGCAAATACGGTAGACCTAGAGCCAACTCCCATCATCTGAATAGGTAATTCCAGTGCTTCAGCAAAGAGAAAACTGAAGAGCCGCAATGTTCTAGAGAGCCAGGGGTTTTCAAACTGGGTTCCGCGGAACACAGGAGTTCCGCGAGCTGGTCTCATGAGTTCCGCAAGCATTGAAATTGCAGTGCCCCCCGCCCCCCCAGTTTAACCTTCTACGGACTGAGCCATGGATCAAGCTCGTGTTGCAGGAAAAAGCACCCTCACGTTTCGCACTAATATATTTTACATTGTGCCCCAGGTTAACCCCTCTGCCTTCCCATTTTGTCTGCAGTCCTCCATTTTATGTGTTTCTCTCAATGCAGTAAACTCTTGCTCACTATCTAAATGCCTTTATTGCCCCGTATTTTCGGTTGCCAACAAAGGGGGGGGGGGGGGGGGGGGGGGGGGTTCCTTGGGACTTTTTGAGGCCTGCTGGGGTTCCCTGGCATGAAAAAGTAGGAGAACCCCTGTTCTAGACATTGTGGCCTCCATGCAGCATGCCATCAAGTCTTACCTCCGAGCAGAGGTGAAAGTAGCAGAGCAGGACCGTGGTCTCAGAGCACGTGATGATCAGGATGATGAACACCAGGAACAGGAACCCGAACATGTAGTACATCTGGCTCGACCTGTCGACGAGTCAATGTTACGTTTGATGTGCTAGGGCAGAGAACATTTTGTTATTAGAACTCTTACTACACTTTACAACTATTTAATGGCAGACCCGTTACATTCAGCAACATCAGCACCTTCCTTCTACAAGTCCCTCAAGTGATTCTGCCAGTACCAAAAGCTTACTGCAATGATCTAAATCCCGAGGCAAAGTAAAGCGAATTCGTTGAGCTTGTAGCACTGACACAGGCAGCTGAGGTATTGTCGTACTAAACATACTACTGACACAGCAATATTCTTTTTGTCAAGTGACTTTACAACAGCAATGAAAGAATTGGAGGTGGATAAAAGCAACGGACCAGATGGAGTTGAGGATGAAAAAGAGCTGGATGAAGATGCAGCCGAAGGGCAGGATCCCGCCCATGAAAATGGCCGGCAGGGCCTGGGTGTACAGCGACTGCTCCGGGATCTGACGCGGGATCTGGTTCGTGCGCACGGGGTACTCCATCACCTGGACACGGCCACAAACCACCATGCAGGTTAGTGTGGTGCACTCAGCCCTTATCACTGCGGTTTTGAAGCTCCTTCGGCCAAGGTTTCGAGTTTGAAAAGGCTCTCTTAAAACGACACAAAACTGAATTTTTTGTTTCAGAATCTTTAGATGAGCAGGCGTAGATGGCACCTTTCCAGAAATCCAAAAAATGCACAGCCTGGTGGCTGTCAAGCAACTTTCTACAACAGTTGTTAAACTTTCAAGTCACGACGGCAACCTTTCTGATGCTCAGGTGCAAAGATATTGCTTCTCGTCTTTTTTTCTTTTCAATCCCCTTCTGTACAAGAGCAATAGGTAAAAAAATTTCTTGGAAGAATAGGGGTTATTCACTGGCAGCCATAGCTGAGTCCGTGGCTTCTAAGTGCAAGCCGATGGTGAGCTTCCCCAGTGCCTTTGCAGTGTACATTCCACACCTCACCTATAGGTGTGCTTAACGAAATAACCATGAGTGTGCAGGCAAGCTGGTGATAATTAGCTATAATGTAACACTTAAGGCTGTGGTGCAGAAAAATGAAGGAACTCTCAAGTCACGACTTGAAAGCTAGTTAATTTTTCTGCACTACAGTCTTTATAGGCGTGAGCTCGTTCCAAGGATGCACTGTGAATTGCACACTCAAATATGCTGCCCAATGAATAATTCTGGGCTCCTTATAATCGATTGAGACATCCATTAAAAGTATGTTCTTCGAATGTCTTCAGAGTCTCATGAAATCACACAGATGGCAAAACACAGTCCCAGGAACAGTTGCCGAGGGCAGGGGCAACGAACGGGGGTTGTGCTCACCCTCTTCTTGAAGCCGAAGTAGGCCCCCACGAAGGTGAGGGGCAGGGAGATGCCGAACCAGAGGGCCAGCAGGGCCAGCAACGTCGTGAAGGGCACTGCCGCAGAGCTGTCCTTGGCCCACAGCAGCAGGTTCAGCACAAAGAACAGGCTGAACACAACCCTGCAGAGGCAGACAAAAGGAACCAGCCATCAGAGGCAACAGCCCTCGAGGCAGGTTAGCGTGATGGCGCGCAGCAGCTCGGGGCATCTGGGCCAAAAGCTCGCGCCGCAGAACTCGGGGGGGGGGGGGGGGGGGGGGTGTCCAGGGTTTGACACCTGCACCTGCCCCGTTTGGACCTGGATGAACCCGGCGTGCATACGATTTAAAGGACACCAGGTTAGCAGTCATACTGCACTGGCTCAATTTCTCTTTGAAAGCAGAAAACAATGCCACCATGTCTCAAAGGCAGAGTGACCTCTCGCTGTTTAAGCACTCAACATCTAATATGCTTTTTTTTTTTTTTTGCCAAATGTGCACTTCTGCAACTGGCCTTCCAAGCTGCCACAGATCCTTTAAAAAGAATATCTGTCTATATTACATTTTTCAAGTGTGCACGGCGCTGTCCGAAGCTCATACACAGAAGTACTGTTCTGTGAATATTCGAAATTTAAAATAGTAGTTTTGAATAATAAACTATTCGATATTCACTTTGAGGTGAACTGTGATACTCATATTTTCGAAGTGTTGATCACAACAGGTTAGCTCCGTTGAGCTAACGTGCACGGGTTCACTACAAAGAAGCAACACCCGCAGAAGTGAGCTCCGCCGGTGCTGCTTTTCTGCAGTTCACCAGTGTTCTTGGTACGAAGCACACTCAACAAGGTACCGTATTTACTCGAATCTAACGCGTACCTTTTTTCCGGAAATCCAAAAGTCCAAAAAAGTGAAAGTCGTTTACCACTCCCTGTAACGCCGAATTGGAGCGCAGCTCTTGAGGAGGAGGAGGGGAGGGTACTGAGGGCCACGTGTTCTCGGGGGGGGGGGTCACGTGACCCCCCCCCGAGGGCACGTGACCTTGGTGGGGTCACGTGGGGGCAAACACGTGCCCCCTCAGAGGTCACGTGACCTCGGGAGGGGGTCACGTGACTCCCCAGGTCACGTGACCCCCCGGGTCACGTGACCAAAATTTTTCCGCTAGATTTAGCGGGGAAATTTTTTCCGCTAGATTTAGCGGGGAAAGTTTTCCGCTAGATTTAGCGGGGAAATTTTTTCCGCTAGATTTAGCGGGGAATTTTTTTCCGCTAGATTTAGCGGGGAAATTTTTCCGCTAGATTTAGCGGGAAAATTTTTTCCGCTAGATTTAGCGGGGAAAGTTTTCCGCTAGATTTAGCGGGGAATTTTTTCCGCTAAATCTAGCGGGGAAAATTTTTACGCTAGGTTTAGCGGAGAAATTTTTCCGCTAAATCTAGCGGGGAATGTTTTCCGCTAGATTTAGCGGGAAAATTGTTTCCGCTAGATTTGACGGGGAAATTTTTCCGCTAGATTTAGCGGGGAAATTTTTTCCGCTAGATTTAGCGGGGAAATTTTTTCCGCTAGATTTAGCGGGGAAATTTTTCCGCTAAATTTAGCGGAGAAATTTTTCCGCTAGATTTAGCGGGGAAATATTTCCGCTAGATTTAGCGGGGAATTTTTTCCGCTAAATCTAGCGGGGAAAATTTTTACGCTAGGTTTAGCGGAGAAATTTTTCCGCTAAATCTAGCGGGGAAATTTTTCCGCTAGATTTGGCGGGGAAATTTACCCATAATGCACCGCGCGGTTACGCCGACGCCGACGGCGACGGCGACGGCGACGCCGACGGCGACGCCGCTCAAGCCGGAAACGGGCCCCTAAGAGCTGCGCTCTAAAATTGCATGCGCGCTAGAATCGAGTATGACCCAAAACTGCGCTACCCTATCGCCATCGACATTTCAAAATAGCCGCTCCATTGCGCGCTGAACATGAGAGGCTTAGAGCGTAGCCAGCGCTCAGCGTAGTCGTGTTTCTTCCATTCGTATCAGCCTGGAAGTTCCCACTCCAAAGACACACCGCGTTCACCATGATGCTGGATTCAAAAGAAAAGTGATGTTGTGCGCGGAGAGCGACGGAAATCGGGCCGCATCACGTGCGTTTAGTGTCCCAGAAACTTGCGTGCGGGACACGCGCAAGCAGAAAGAAAGGATTTTGGCCAGCAAGTTTCAAAGATGAAATGCTTTGAGCCGTTGACAGCAACAAGGAGTCGTCTGACAGCGATGACGAGTGGTGCATACCGCCCCACGGGCACTGCCCCAGACCGGCGTCGTGATGACGACCTTGCCGGCGAGAGACAGCACCGTTCATTTCATCGCAAGATTGAGGCATTTGGAATAAACCTTCGTTGTTCCAAGTGAGAAAACGTTTAATTTCTGTATCCAACCTACAAAATCTGGTGCGCGTAACAATCAAGGTCATTGCATTTTTTTTTCTTTCGGACCTCGAAAAATAGGTGCACGTTACAATTGAGGGCACATTAGATTCAAGTAAATACGGTAACCTGCCATGATCAACACATAGAAAAGTATGAATATTGCAATAGTGCGCTTGAGAGAACAGCACACTTTCAAGGTGGTATAGTGCACAGATGCGCCTGGTGTATTTAATAAAAAACGGGAAGAACATTCGGAATCGAAGGAAGAATACCTACATTTGGAGTAAAATTATCAAAAGTCAGCTGCGGCCGTTATGCAAAAGTATGTTAGGCAGAGATGCCCCAACAACCTGCGTTTGTCATTCGTGATTCTTTCTTATTTTCAAATTCGGGATTGAAGAAAAAATATTTGCATATAGCAAGATTTGTAAATGCACTCAATTAGGTATAGCTGGACATCTCTACAGGTTTAATCTTATGTCAAATCCATTGTTTACTTGCCGTCTGAAGGCTAAGGACTTTTTGAGATCCGTTCATAAATAGTTAGATTAAAATGAACTTATAAACGGACAAGTGGAAGCTTGGGAACAACATTCACGAATTTTGCTGGGTTTTCGTTTAAGCATGGTGTAGCAGCAGTGAAAGGCTTGGAGAAACTGTTTGATAGTCGATTCCAAAATATTTGGCCCAAAACCACTACTCACTTCGAACTCAAGATCCCCTATTCACACATGACTACACGTAAAAGTTTGAGAAATGCTTCATCTGTGTGCCTGCTCAAACCTTCAAAAGATATGTGCTCATGCCTCCCACTGCACTGCACAGAACTTGTGATAGAGCATAAAAACCACATTGGCACCAGGCAGTTTACATGAGACATTACAGTAAAAACAAAATTTTTACATTTTTACTTTGTTGGAGTACACTGTGAGACAATACGAAGAGTCCAACTATCCGTTGACTCCTTGGCTAGTTATGTGAATCTGTGGACTACCAAAGCCTCATAGGAGATGTAACTACCAGCCTAGTCCATGGAAAGGCAAATTATCTTTAAAATGGCTTACCCAGGGCAGACCAGGGCAGTCAGAAGCACGTTAGACTTCCACTTCTCCCCCCCAAATGCTGAAAAATAGGAAGATGAGTCAGTACATACTCAAAGTCCGGCAAAAGTCAGACTCAAAAAGACAGGGGGACGAGAGGTCACTAAACCAACCTTTGTAGATCCGGGCAGAGACGTAGCCAGCCGGAGTTCCAAGGCACACGAACAGCACCTGCGGGATAGGCAAAAACAAGTTGTCCAGACTCTCACTAAACCTCAATAAAGGTGGCTCTGCTCAATCTTGAAAAATTTAAGTTTAGGTATGATTCACCAGAGATAAGTCCCTCTGGACTGCTCTACCCAAATTTCAATGGAATATCCATCCACACAGCAAAACAGCTTAGCCAAGCTAACACACCAAGGCTCAGGATGTTTTTGAACACTGAGCGTTTGCAAATAATAAATTGTAGGGACTTCAGAAGGTTCTGGGTACAAGTGAAATGCTGAAAGGCGATCCAATCTCACGAATAACATACCTAGTTCATGCAATGATGTCCACCGTGTGATAAAAATAGATCCAGAACACCTCTCACCCAATACTATAACCATAGCCTACCTCACATACTAGCACTGTACTCATCTCTCAGCCTAATAACATTCTGGACACTGGAATTCCGTCCGAAACAATGGGGCTCATTCAGAGAACTATTGCATCCACAAGCTTTCACAACATATTTTAGGACATTCACTATAAAAAGAAAGAAAATAAATTTCATAATAAAGCATCAAATTCAAGAAGACTTGTTGAATGGAAGTCAGCAGGGGAGTTATAGTTCCTCTTCCTAATACAAGAACAACCGTGGAAAGGTCCTCTCACCATCGCACAGGTCATGAGGGCTCCCCTGTTTGCTGGTGACAGGAATCCAAGGCAGGCAAACACTGCAAAGGGCATCATCATGAGGTGGAAACATTACAAACACCAACAGACAAAAACATAAATGCAGTAAATGCAGATTGCCTGACCTTGTCACCAGTATAGTCATGCACGACATTACAATTTCATTAGATCCTAACTCAACTGCACTTATCAGCTCAAGTGCCAATCGTTTTGCTTTCACGAGTGACAAATTTCCCGATCAGCGCGCTGAACACCGATTTGAGATCGTCCTAACTTACACTACAGCTCCCGTTCAAGAGGTACTAGCACCAGGACGTTTCGATGGTGCCATCTACGGGTCCATCCTCGACGTCACGACAGGGACTTGCTCGATGTGACGTGACGGGTTGTGCTCCCGGCTACTTATCCTCAGCCGCAAACAATAAGTTCACACCGTCAAAGCTGACTTTCTCACATTGCTCTTATCTCCATCGACGAAAGGGGAATAAAGTCCACTAAAGACGACGTAGCGAGCTTCTGGCCAATCGTGGAAGGCCGACTACGGCGAGGTTTTAGGTCGTGCACGTCGCTGACGAACGGACTGCAGAGATGTTAGATGAAGGGACTTTCGAGGCCGTGCGAGAAAGCCTCCAGAGCCGCGACTCACGCAGGGTGATGAAGGTCATGAAGAAGATCTGGGTGCCACTGCCGAGGAAGACGGACAGCAGCATGCCCTTCCTCGGAGTCCGGAACACGTCCCCGTGAACCAGCTTCCAGCCAAACTCCTCCTGGGCATCATCCTGCGCCACACGCGCTATCCACGTAAGTGTCTCATGCCACACACATTGGTAGTATACCTACGGCCATTAGGTAAGCACACCGATTGTATCGATGCCCCATTCCCCAAATAACGGCACCCACAAGATAATCGGAGAATGAAGTGCCCCACACTTTAAAAGGATACCCAGTCGAAATTTAAAATATACAGAAAACATCAAGAAACAAGCCCAAATGGGATCAGCTAAACCTGTAAATGATAATTGCATGCTTGTATTTTGAGCGGATGGCTATATTTTTCATTCTAATGCCAGGAGTTTGGTGATCACTTCGAAATCGGCCGTTGAAGAGCGTGATGCATACCGGGAGATCCGGAGCGCCCTTGATGTCGTCGTGTCGTGCAGGGCCAAGAGCACCATAGTTATGAGCTATGCCACTTGGAGATGTCGACGTGCTAAAATCTCGTTTAGTCAAAGTACCAGAGGGCCGTAGCATATCTTTGGGGGATTGTGGAGTTGGCAGAGCTGCCTCGTGTGCGCGATGGCCGACCAACGCGACGAGAGCCTCAAGTGACCCTCAACCACCTGCCTGCCCCTGGCCGTTTCGAACTGGATGAGTATCGTTAAACAGTGCGTTCGTGTGATCACTACTGCGTGATGCACGTTAAAGACCCGCCCCCCCGGACTGGCGGCCACAATTACTGTCCTGCACACGTCACTCTGCACTGGCGAATAATTCAGCAAATCCGGGACACTCGTCGTTTCATTTAATTGCCTGACCAACTTCGCGCAATCTGAATATCACACCCAAACATTTCTAAACCTGATTTTGTGAAAATCAGTGAGGCGTGAAAACGTTATTTGAAACTGAAACTGTGGCAAAACATGAAAACCAGACTTCGAACTTTGCGCACTTGGACTTTAAGGAAATTCGAAACCTAAGTTTATTTTTCGAATTTAGCGCTAAAAGAGAATCGAAACCTTCAAACTTTTTAAACTTTATGTAGAAAGAAATTCGAAATCTTTGAATTTATCGATCTTCATGTCTATAAAAATTCGAAACGTTCGGATTTTCCAAATTTCAGATCCAAAAAAATTCGAAAAATTCGAATCTCTTGAATTTTAGGTTAGGAAAGTTCGAAATCTTCGAATTTCTCGAGCCTCAAGTAAAAAAATATTCAAAATAATCAAAACCAAACTTTTAGAAACTGTGAAAGCTTCGAACTTTTCGAATTCGAAACTCCACAATTTTTGAAAGTTGCGAATTTTTTTAATTTGAATCTCGTACGGTCGAAAATATCGAAACCTTTTGAATTCGAACATCAGTTCGGTTCGAAAATATTGAAATCTTTCGAAGTTGAACCTAGGGTGGTTTGCAGCATCCCTACTACTGGTACAGTAACAACAAAAAAAAAAGAAAAAAATTTGCTTTAGAAAGGTTGGCAGCCTCAAAGGCGGACTACCAAACCTGATATTCTGCAAGGCTTTCCTCCTTCACGTCTTCGAGCGAGGGAAGGGAAGGATATAAAGAGGGGACTAAAAAAGTTGGGCATGAGTCAGCACGCGCCGTTTGGATGGAGGGTTGGTTCATTGTGTGAGCACGTTCATGGAGATAAGCCAGCAAAAGGGGTGCCCCCACAATGGACAAGTCACAATCTGTGTGTTGGAGGATTAGCGAAGGAACCTTCCAGGACCAGAAAATGAGAACCAAGTTTGTTTCTCGCACTGCGTGGTACATCCTCGCTGGGTGCTTCCTTGATCAGCGCAATTTTTATTCAACGTGAATTGACGTCTTTTTAAAAAAACTGCTGCCCCCTGTCGGAAGCCTGGATCAAAATGCACTGGTATGAAAATTTGAGGGCACAAGGAAGGAAGAGTGAAGAAGCTTCTTTGTACAAACTTCAAGGCGAGTGATAAGCTGCAGATACGCCACAGTGTGTACAAAGAATACGGTGGGAAAACACAGTCATTCAGAGGCCACTGCACCTAGGAAGTAAGATCTAACTTCCCTTCTCGGGAGGCCGTGGCTTATTTTGCTCGAACACGCAATCGTGTGTTTTCATATTCACAACTTTTGAACCAGTGTCTGCGTGGGGCTGCGCATGCACAGGCGATATTTTCCATTGCCGTGGATATCTCCTCGATAAAAAGAAATGAAGCACTAAGAAACAAAGCACGGCTTCCAATCATTGGGCGCGTTCAGTAGCACCTCTCTTGCTTCCGAACGGAGTGACTAAAGTCAGAGCTTTTTGGATTTTCTCGCCGGAAATCGTCACCAGTCTCCGGACTCGGTGCTTCGGAGCTTCACTCCAAAGCCCCAGAGTTACGTGCACCAGAAGTGACTTTTGACCGTCCAGTGGAAGGAGTCGGAGACTCCTTGATTCCGAGGCCGCTACTTGGCGCGCCCATTTTTAACAACATGGACCCCCCCCCCCCCCCCAAAGAAAAAAAAAAGTTCAAGGGAAACATGTAAAGAAATACCAGTGCACAGCACGCTGAATAAAAACCTGCACTGACGCCAATGGCATTGTAACTGACGGACTCCAGGCTGCTAGTCAATCATGTTCGGGTTGCTCTTTTGTATCGTAATCCCTTTTTTTTCTTCTAGTTGGAGCTATATGGCATAGCTGCCGTGGGCTTAGCTTGAGCAGGAGCAGGGCTCAGGGGTAGGGGACGAGGAAAAGAAGGGGGGAGGGGGAAACAGGCAACAAAGAAAAGGGTAGAGGGAGGCAGAGGAGGAATTAGGCAATGGTGAAGAGGGTAGAGGGAGGGAGAGGAGGAAGTGAGGGAAAAGTTGAAAATAGGAATTTGGTCTTTAGGCTCTAAAAACGGCACGCAATAGCAATAATGACGGCAAAGTATTTTTTACAAACAAATTCCTCAAGAAATAGCCTTTAACAAACTACTTCTCCATTATGTGTCTAGAAAATTGATTACTGAGCATTTATTTTGATGCAGTGCGCTACCAACATACCTAAGGGGTACGGAAATTATTTAGTCCATGGCATTAAAATGAGTGTTTCCTGACAAAGCGGACATGTCAGACCTTTGCCAGCCAATAAAATGGGTCCCAGTGTTGCCAATCCTCACCCCAGAGTCCATCTGGTTGTAGCGGGCTATGTCCTTGTGCAGTGTCCTCAGCAGGATCATGGCAACCATCCCGGTCAGGAACAGCACAATGATGAGACTGTTCATGATGCTGCACGAGAGAGGACACCACTCCATTCAGTGCACAATAGAAGTCCATGCTGAGGGCATATACATGAGGATTGTTATTGAGTCTCATCAGTTACAAACATTGTTTTAGAAAAGATTAAAACACAAAAGGAAAGCCTGCATCTACCTCATTGTAGGTAGGAAAATATAGGTATTCATCTTCATACATGCAAAAACAAGATAAATTGAACCTATCTTGGGAAGCAAGCATCTCAAACTCCATGGAAGGGTTAAATGCAGAAGCACTCAGCAGATAGTACGTTTTTTTTTTTGCTTCCAACCTGGCAACCGGCAAAGTTCCCAGTTTGCACAAGGCACAAGCTAAATGGCAAGCTTGCACAGAGTGCAACTGTCACTCAGTGACTGTTCGTGTTTTCCTAATTGGTGCCAAGAGACAGCTTGGTGCAAACTATCATCTTGGCCAAGTGACAGTGAAGCTGTCTGCACCGGTGCTAAGCAACTCTGAAGCAACTCCGACCAACTGGCAACTGTTCAGGACTATCAGACACAAAGTCTCTTTCTAGTTTAAAAATTGTGCTACACTCCTAAGCTTTCCAGCTTCAAGAGATTACTAAGTAAAACAGTAACTAGTATACGCCCTAGCTTACCCTGTAGAACCAGCTAAAGCACAGTCAGTGCTCAGCAGATTTTTCTGACCTGACTGGTTATGGTGTCTTCAAACAACAATAATGCTTTAACAACAACAATGCTTAAACAAGATGTCTGAATGCAACCCCCCGGGAGAATGCTTGATACCCATGATGAAAACCTATCAGCTGGATAAACAATGAAGCACAGTTGAGTATCTTCTGAAACACACCTGAACCACTGGATGTTTGTCTGGGGCATGGATTCGAGGATGTAGTCCCAGCGAGACGACCACCTGATATGATCATTCCTCTGTAAAGCCAAGGCCAAAACATGTCACCAAAGCTCTCCCAAGACTTAAAGCCCTATTCACACAGCAGCATTTGACTGTTATGTAATATTGTGATACGAGCGTGCATCACTGGCACATTTGCATTTCGTATGCCACGTAGCAAGCTACTCCTTAAATTGGTTGCCACGCTTCGTACGACGCACAGATTTCCCGATGTCTCGTGGTCCTAATTTGACACAAGTCCTCACAACGTACAGTAGGCTCGTGATAATTCAAACTTGGATATTTCATACTACTAATTAAAGTTTGGTTGTCCCATTATATTTTTAATGTATTTATAAGCTGCCTTATTTGAACGGCGTTTTCGTGTAATTCATACTTTTTGTTCTAGCGGCCCCGTTGAGCGAGCTTCTTTCTGAGCACCGATGCATTGCAGAGAAACAACACGTGCCGAGCTTGCTTCTGCGGGTGTTGCTTCTCTGCAGTGCTCCGTAAGAAACGCGCTCAGCAGGACTGCTAGCATAATATCCCGAGATAGCCCACCTAACATCAAGAGCAAATCACGTGAAAATATGGAGTGGGCTAACTTTCAATGTACAATAAAAAAAAAAAGTTGAAACAAATTAGCTATTTTTAGGTTGTGTCTTTTCCAAGCTTGTTATGGCGGCGAGGGGCAACAAAGCAAAGATGACTGTATTTCCCAGTCGGCAACGTTCACTTATATCCCGCCATAGCAAACTAGCCGCATATACGCCGAGGCCATTATTGATCCCAACACTACTATTACTACCAGTGGGCTAGCTTTCGGTGTTTAAAAAAATATAGCAAATCAAGCCAAAAATGGGGATGGGCTATCTTTCAGGAGTGGGGCATCACTCAGGATTTTACAGTAGTCCACGATAGACAAACTTTTTTTTCTGGCTGAACCAACTTAATTTTGTTTTGAGGTGTCATGTGCTGTCTAAACAGTCCACGATAGGCATTTTTGAGGGATGACCAAAGTTATCCGACACATTTTACCAATGTTTCATGTGCAGCCTACCTGGTTATGTTAGTAGGCCTGTGTAGAGGAAATCAACAAATATCTGCTTTTCATCTGTAGCCATCCATATAGCAAGTCATAATCTTATTTTGCATCATATTTAGATAAATTTCTGATAATTCAAACTTCTGATAATTTAAACAAAATCCATAGCTTCCTGAAGTTTGAATTAATGATAGTCTACTTATAGACAAATGGTACTGTTTAAATAATGCCATGTTGTGAGACAACGTAAAGAAGGATGCATTTCCCTTCTCAGCAATCCCTAGATTTTTTTATAAATATAGTAACAGCCTTTTTCCACAGAGGGTATTCACTGGCGGCCATTGCTGAGTCCGTGACCACTGGTGCAGTGGTGCCACCAGAAAAGAGTGGGGAGGGTAGCACTTTTGCAACGTGCATTTCACACCATCAACAATGCCCTTCTTAGCAGACGATAAGTGTGAGCCCATTCTGAGCATACGCTGCAAACAACATACTCAAGTAGGATGTCCAATGAATACTCCCCCGACTGAGAAACGGGCGCCAGCAAAACGATGCATGGGGACACACAGTGCTTTTAAAAGGAAGCTGAAGTGGTTTTGATTTTGATTTAAAACACATAATTTGTTTTAATCCAACTCCAAGCACTCCAAGCATCACAAATATCACAAAAAGTAGACTTTTTTTATGCCCGCACCATGTAGAAGATGCCTTTGAAGTTGCATTAAAACCACACCACTCCGCGGCAGCAGGAGAGGGCAGTAAAAGGAAAAGGGAAAATATGGTGTCACAAAAGGTTTCTCGTGTGTGCTCCTCGACTCGCAGCACCAGTGTTGTGATCATCGACACTGAGCTAGTTGGCGATTCATGCTTCCGAAAGGTGCCAATTGAACGTAGGAAGATACAACAAGTGAGAGAGAGAGAAAAGAGGACAAACACACTGCTGGACTAGCAACCATTTACTGAAGATCTTTTTCCACACCCATTAGTTTCATATCTCCGAACGAATGGGTATGGAAGAAGAGGTTTATCTTCAGTAAATGGTTGCTAGTCCAGCAGTTCCGAACATCTTCCTACAGAAGATGCAGGCACCATAGCGAATCCGAGGAGCTAACGTGAGGCGGAGACGAAACGAGCTCAGGATTTTTAGTTGATATTTGAGCAACAGATGCAATTAGAAATGTTAGAATCATGCCTGCTCATTTTATGACATCACAGCTCGACCAACCAATGATGTTCGGCGGCGACGAGTGGCTGCATATTTTTCTATTTTTTTCAAGTTTAGTGTTATTTTGAGAACAAATGATGGTGATGTTTGGATACTCCAGGAAAAACTATGTCAAAAGAAAAAGCATCAATTCCTCTTTTTTAAAGACCGTTTCAGCTTCCCTTTAAGCAAAGCTGCAAAAGTAATCAAGTCAGCTACTTGAGCTGAAATGTAACTACAATAAAATGCCGAGCAAGTGCCACCTCAAAATCTTGAGATAATCATGTAAAACTGGGGGATGGGCGCTTTTTAGGTCAACAATATGTGAAGGTATGTCCTTTGCGTATTTTCCGAATGTTACAAAATTGAGGGGCAAGCACTTATTATAGAACGGGCGGACGCTTGGTATTTTACACTATGTTACAATTAAAAATGCCTCCAGTGCTGACATTGAGACTAGACCTGTATGAACAAGTTTCTTGTTGGCGCAATTTCGAGTAACTGTGACCGACGCAAACTACAAGTTTCCCAAAAAATGTAACCGAGTTACTAGCTACTGTTACTAAAATTTCATTGCCACTTAGAGTAAGTACATGGTTACTCAAACTGAGCCCTATCACTCAATCACAGCAGCTTCAATACTTTTAATTAGCTACGTTACAGCTTTGCTTCTGACTACCCTGCCGATTCTACAACGGAATGCTACCGCATGGTAAAGCCCATCTCCAAGGTACCAACAGCCGTCACGTTGCATTCGATACGAGGCTGGTTTACGCATATGCATTTGACTGTGACCGACCACGCCACAAAAGCTTGTTTGTGCTTACAAGAAAATACACTGACACACGATCTGCTTACGACTAGACCCAAGGTTTTGTGACACTTGCCAGACCAAATCTATGCGCAATCTACAAAAGTGGTCGCTCATAACATTGCCAAAACTATTTTGAGCCCACGGTAAAAAAAAGGAGTCATAAAAAAGTTAGGAAATATATGCAGATCGTAAATGTTCCAAGGCTACTCGGCAAATGGCGCCAGCGTCTTCTCTTGTCGCAAGCAGCCGCAAACGATTGCAATGTGCTCACTCGTACACAAACGCGAACGTGTGAACCGGCCTATGGGCGCTCGCTAGCGAGCATGCTCACCACGAAGGAGACGCTGTAGGTGTAGGTGATGTTGATGTCATCTTCATCCTTCACTCCCAGTGTCAGGGGCTCTCCGGTGTCGCACATGTTGGGGCCGGCCTTGTGCTTTAGGCTGCGTACGGGCACGGAACGCTCTCGCTATAGCCACCGACCGCTTAGAAAGCGCGGGGTGCGACGTGTTCCGAGCATCTCGTTACTGCTCCGTGGCCAACGAGGTTACGGCGTTGAAACCCAAGAACGAATCAGGGAGTGAAAAAAGGTGACAATGGTAAGCAGTGCCGTGCAATTCTTGATGGCGACTATAGCTCCGTTGCCTGTGAAGGTAGCTTCCGGCAAGACAGAAAACGCCCTTTCCAGACATACTTCGCACATCGAAAATGCGCAGATTGTCCCACCCTGATCTAATTTCCTGCCACATATGCTTGTATGACGTGGAATGTGGATGATTTACCGTGAAAAGAAAGATAAAAGTGCGGGCATGTCATTTTCTGCTATACAACATTCTTATTGATTGGATGCTTGTTTGTTCGTATACTGTCACGAGCGAGGGCACGCGAGACAGTGTCATAAAAAATGTGACGGTCAATGATTTTTGTTTTATACTCCCATGAAAATGGACTCAGAAACAGATCTACTGGTGACAATTTGAAATAATCCCAGTCACATATACATACATATATTTCAACATACTAAACAGGAACAAACAAATAGAAAGCAAAGCATGGATTACTTTAAAATAAATTAAGTTAATCAAACCAAGACGTACATAAAAAATGAGAAAGTCTAGATGTTAACAAATCTATTGTTAATTAATTTTGAAGAGTGTTAAATTTTTTTTTAGTAATCTAAGGCAGTAGACCTCGACATTTTTGAAAATTTAAATAAGCGGTAAAGATCAGCAGAGCTATACAGCAGTACCAACACAGCTATGCAAGGTACCGAAATACGACGTCCTAGCAAAGATATTTTGATCGTAAAACTGATTCCGAAGCCGACGACTCCGGGCAAGTTGGGTCGCACCCCATTCGACGGCGGAGACTCAAGGAGCACGAGCTCTCCGGTTTCTCGATTCGGTCGTATCTCCACCATCGTCCGGAGTCACTTCATCTGGTTGAAAGTATAGTGCTCGAAGCGCGTCTTCAACTGGTGCTTTTGGCGTCCCGTCCCCACATCAAAAGTGGTCCCCAAGTGGCAACAAATGACGTCGCGGAAGCCGGTGTGTCATGTCGCCAGACACCGCGTTCCTAACGGTTAGTGCCGGAAGTCCCGTCAAAAAGCACGAGCGAATGCGAGCGTGGCCGTCATTGCGGCATCCCACCTCTTGACTGCCAAACCTTCCGCAGACCAAACGTTCGCCAAAGCCACATCGCTGCCGCGACGCTTCTAGGACGTCGTCGGGCGGGAATCGAGGGACCACTTTTTTGGATGCGGTAAACACACCGGTTGAAGACGCGTTCCAGGCACTGTAGTCGGGGGAAAAGGACGCCCGCCCCAGACGTCGTCCCATGCACCCACCTCTTGGGCTGCACCTTGACGGAGATGATGCGCCCCCCTTCCTCGATGAAGGAGCTTCCCCACGACTCCTTGTCGCTCTTGTGGTACGACACCGTCAGGTCCACGTGGTTGAACAGGTAGAATGTGTCCGGCTTCGAGTAGGCAGACTGTGCGCCGGGGGACAGACAAACCCCGGGGGCTCACCGTCTCGCGCCACAGGGATTCTCACCATGTGCCATCAACTGATCCAAGCACTTGCCCGACGAAATGACGTCAGCCAATGTTTGGTTGGTACGAAAATAAGGCGACGAAAGAGGCGCAAATCGAACCGTCGTTAAAATTAGTCCCCCCCGTACTCAAGTTTTATTTTTATTTTTTTTTTTTATAAACCCAAAACTGAGGAACTACTTAAACTAAAAGAACAAACACAGCAATCTCATACCCTAGTTACACTAGCGCACTCAACAGTCATTAAGCCAACGATCGATGGCATCTTCGAACTGTCATTGAGCTACACTAAGTTGTATGGCGTTACACGGTACATAGGCCTAACAACCCTAGTTGAGATGCGTGTCAAGGGACACAGTTGAAACCGAAACAAAACCAAAACTGATGTCACATTACCTTTTTTTAAAAAGTCATGCAAATGAATTATGTGCACTTTTCATTCCTTATAAACATTAGAAACAAAATAAAATGAACTTCTTTTTTCGTTTTTGAGCATAAGAAACATTAATCGGAACGCTTCATACGAATTCAAGCAAGAATCAACGAAAGTTTTATCGGCACCGACATCACAATGGCTGCCTTTGCCAAGCTTTGACTCCTGCGACGTGCCATGATCGTTAGCTGTTGCTCTGACCCCAAATCATACCTCTTCCGAGAATATTTGCTGCTACGATACTTTCTAGATACGTCTCCCATTTTCCGCAATAGTAAGTGCTTCACTGGCGCTGGCCATGGGCGGTGCTGCGGCAGACGCTGCCATCTTTAGCTTTTTTGGGGCAAACTCCCGTCAGTTAACTGAGGTAAGCCAGCTCAGTTAAACTCAATGGACATTAGAAACTCAACGACAGTTGGAGCCGCCAAGTCTCCGGCCAATTATGATTGAGTCAACTGTCGTTGGCTTAATGACAGTTAGGGATGCCGCGAACTTGTTTCGAATCGAAGTTTCGATGATCGAATCAAGCGATTCGAAAGATTTCGATTTTTCGAATTGTCTATATCGTAAAATTCGACGGAGGTCGAATTTTCGAACTTGTTAAGCTAAGAAGTTTGACGCTTTTCGAACCGTCAAACTTATTACGCTAAAAAATTCGATCTTTTTCGAACTTTCGAACTTATTGCGCTGCAAGGTTCGATGCTTGTCGAACTTTCAAACTTGACTGACCAAAAAATTCGATGAATTTCGAACTTTCGAACTTATTTATCAAGAGAAATCGAAAAGTTTCGAACTTTCGGATTTTGAAAAGTCAGAAGTTCGACGAACTTCGAACTTTTAGGGTAAAAGTTCGACGTTCGTCGAACTTCGAAAGACCGGCGGACGGTTTTATTTGATTTCAAGTAGTGGGGTACATTCGTAATTTTTTTTTTCTCGAACTTTTACACGCGGTGCTGCGTTTCTTACGAAAGACAATGTCGTTTATTTCAATGTTCTGGGACGCTTAGGTTTAAAGAAATAAATCCCCGAAGGGGCGAGGAAGGACGACGGGTTTTTGAAGATTATCGTTTGTGCCAGATTTGAAGCACGCTGCAGCCGGAGCTATTTATGGTAGATAGATATGTTATACTTTTTTTTTAAGAATGATATATGTATAGTCTATGTAAGTGCCGTCTTAAGATGTGATTATTGTTATTCAACGTGAGTTTCGAAGAAATGTCCAAACATGTATCTGCATGCAATTATAACCTAAACTTGATATTTATTTTCGTCTAAGTTGTTTGAGGTATCGCATTTAAATTAACACCACAGACAGTACATATCATTGCCATCTGCAGAATACGAAATAATATATTTATTGTTTTTTCACGTTAAGGAATAAATTAACTCATGGGAGAAGATTTCTAATAGTGTTCAAGTTCAACACGTCATTAAAAGAAAACTTTTTTTTTTTTTTTCGCTTCACGTTCCTGGGACGTGTTTCTTTTAGCCTGTACACATTTTGGTAAAAGAAACTTGTTTCAAAGTTCTGAACCTCTGAATATGCAAGAATAGAACACTTCCGACGAATTCTTGATAGTTTTTTTTTCTCCTGCTTTTTATTCCCGCATTTATTCTTCTTTTTTTTTTTTTTTTTTGTTACTATCGGCACAGGTGTTTAGGTCGAAAAGACAGCTTTGAACTTCCGAACCACTAAGCATGTGACGAGCAGTGCCTTCTGACAACGAGTTTCTAACAATGACCATCTACGCAACCTTTTATGCAGTGAAGAGCGACAGTAGCTATACATATGCATAAATAATTTCAGATTAAAATAAGCTCGACCACGCCCTCTTTCCCCGTATTGTTTTCTTTCACAGTTCGAAATACCTGCAAGGGGGAGAAGGAAGCTGAAGCACCCCCCCCCCCCCCCCCCCCCCCCGCTACCCTCTTTCCCCCCGTTTTTCCTCTTCCGACGCCCCTTGTATGGTAGAACGCTCCTCGACCTCGAGTTGCGTCGGCTTTTGTGCTTTTTGCGAGGCGATTCCTCCGCCCCAGAAAATAAACCTCCAGGACAATTATAAACTTCACCGGATCGGATTACTACCAGCGTGCAAGGGGTGGCGAGCAGGTTTGCCAGGTCGCTTCAAGGTTTTTCTGAGCCTCAACCTCCTGCTCGCCCCTGGCTGTTTCGAACTGGATGAGTCTCGTAAAACAGTGTGTTTGCGTGATCACTACTGCGTGATGCAGGTTAAAGACTCCCCCCCCGGGGCTGGCGGTCACAATTCTCCACTGGCTAATATTCTAGCACATCCGGGACACTCGTCGTCTCATTTAATTGCCTGACCAACTTCGCAGAATCTAGATATCACACCCTAACTTTTCTAAACTTGATTTCGTGAAAACCAGTGAGGCGTGAAAACGTTATTTGAAACTGAAACTGTGGAAAAACTTGAAAATCGGACTTCGAACTTTGAAAACTTGGATTAGAAAAAAATTCAAAATCTTCAAAGTTTTTTTTTTTTTTTTTTTAATTTAGCGTTAAAAGAGAATCGAAACCTTCGAACTTTTCGAACTTTATGCAAAAAGAAATTCGAAATCTTCTAATTGTTCGAACTTCATGTCTATAAAAGTTCGAAGCGTTCGAAGTTTTCGAATTTTTTTTACAAAGAATTTCGAGATCTTCGAATTTATCGAACCTGAAGTAAAAAAATATTCGAAATATTCGAATTCGAAATTTTGGAAACCGTAAAAGCTTCGAAATTTTCGAATTCGAAACTCCGCTGTGGTCAAGAGTTGCGAAGTTTTCGAAATCGAACCTCGGTCGGTACGAAAATATCGAAATTTTTCGAAATCGAACCTCAGTTCGCTTCGCAAATATCGAAACCTTTCGAAATCGAACCTAGGGTGGTTCGCGACATCCCTAATGACAGTTAAGAGCGCTAGTGTAACTAGGATATCAGTCTTTTTAGTTGGTTCAATCGCTCGCATGTGTCATTCATGAAGCTATACCAGATTACCCGTCTTAATATATTAACTCTCTTCACAGCCATGTTCAAAAGCCCTTTAGTTTTCCACTTTGCGTCTTTCCTCAAAACTTATTCTTTTAATGTAGAGGGAAAAATGTTATTAAACTAGACATCAATTTAATTTTTTGTGGTGATCATTGGAATGCATCACAACAAATGAAAGCGGTGACAAGCAGCACTAAAAAATTGGGCACTGTAAAGAGAAAATGAGGCGAGGCTGCCAAGATGGCAACCCAATGCACTCACATAGATGCCGCACATGCCCTTGGGCTGGCTGGTGCGGTAGGTGAAGCAACCCATGGGGAACCCCATGGAGCAGAACTGGCTGTTGGGCTCCACCAGGTAGCACCAGGTCACCGGCATGTTGTCCACAATCCTGCCAGGGTACACGAGCACGCACGCTTTAACCACCCCGACTTCAGACACAGACAGTAGAACCTAAAGCCACAGAGTACCTAAGCTACGTTTAGAGCATGGGTTCCCAAAGCTTTTTTATCTCGAGGAACGCCTAATCGCCAAGGATCACCTTCCGGTCTTGTAATTGATGCCATAAAACAATAAAGCAAATACTATAAAGCGTTTGGTTCTCAGTTGTGCATCAAGGAGTGACTCGCATCTGCTAAAATAATGCTTAAACTGAAAAAACATTTACAGTGTAGACCGCATATAACGCATGTCGCAGGAGTCGCAAAAATCCGCACTATAAGCGGTACCGCGCTATAACCAAAACATCAATTTTTCAGGCCAAAATACATGCCATCAGACAACTTACCTTTGTAAAAGAATTTATTTTATGCTAGATGAAAAATAAAGCTTAGTTTGAGGAAAGTCTTTATTTCACCAGACTAGTACACTTCTCTCTCAAGTGTGTCACACATTTTGAAAGAAATGAGCGACTTTTGCCTGGCGCAGCCTTTTAACGTTGTCGCGGGTTGCGGACGGACGTTGCGAGCGTTGAGGATTGCTAACCCTAATCACTTTTCTCCGGCGATGAAAACGCGTGAAAATTCGATCGCATCCTTTATACGGTACGCACCAGTAATACCTTCATCTTGAGCACAGGCATGAAATGCTCCAAATAAGAAATCCGGGCGATGTTTGAAAACACAAATGCTTAGAATGCACCACTGTAGTCGAAGTAAACAAACACGACGACATGGGCGTTTCTGCCGTCTTGAGAGTGCCGCCACAACATCACCGCACGAGTAGGTGGATCTTCCCTTCTAGTACAAGCTGGGTTATCATAGCGACACACAACGAAAATTCACAGTCAAGGATAGCGCTTTTACGCGGAACGATGAGCTTCCACCACGCTGTCTACGTCGACGATCACAACCGACGCCATGTTCGCGGATTGAAGCAGCCGGCCCGCGATCAGCATGCAACGCGCGCGAACACTTCTCCTCGACCTGCGATTGGTCTGTCTTTGCGGTTGTTTGTTTCCAACGCAGCGGAGGGACGCACGCATGTGAACGACACATGCATGCGTCCCTCCATCGCTATGGCAACTGAAGCCTCTCTCTTCGCTTCTCCCCGCTTCTTCGAGCAACCTCCTTGCCCCGCGAGTGCTGCTTGCGGCTCGCGCCGTTATCTAGTGTCGCACAGGGAAGCGTGCTTGCTGCGCCGGTCAGTCGGCGCGCTGTTCCAAAAACCGCACTATAACCGGTATTTCCCTTCGCACGCCTGCATTTTAAGCGGTATGTAAATACATGGAGTTCTATGGGAGGCGAACCGGTGGTTTAAAAAAGCCGCGTTATACCCGGTCCTGCACTATAAGCGGTTACATTGTAAGTGGTCTATACTGTACTTGGGCCCAATTCAAACAGGGCAATTTCCCCAGAAATTTCAGGGTTGCTTGAAAGTTCTTCCCAACGATTTCCTAGACCCTCATGCTGCGGCACGAGTTGCTGCGAATGAGTCCGGCTCGAAACGGGCGAGCAACTCCAACAACTCGGAGACTTTAGAAGAGTCAGCAGCCAATTGGGATGCAATATTTTCACATGACCCCCCTGTGGTATTGATGATGATAACTGGACCGAAGGTTTAACTTGGTTATGGTTTCAAATAGATTGTTTTCGCAACAAAATTGTTCCAGGGACACGAGATAGCATTCTCAACGCAATCAAAAGATATAGAAACACGCTATTAACGTGGAGCTTTCCGTCCAAATGCCGTTTGAAACTTTTGAAACTTTAACGATGATGATAACAAAACCCAGCAATTCCAGCTTCAGGAGTTGCTGCAAGTGAATGGGGGAGGCCCGTGTTGCTGATGTTGCGACGTCGTGAGGTTGGGAAAAATTGCCCGTCTGAAGCGAGCCTTGGGGGCGGGGATAGTAGAGGAAATTTGGGAGCTTCGGGAGCTCCTGGGTTCCTAGAAGCCCAGGGTGTTCCCAAAAGAGCCCTCATAGGTCCCTTAAGTTCCCAAATTGCCCCAACTGTCCCTGCACCTAAGTAGATTGTTATTCCAGTTTAAGTGCTACTTCAGCATATCTAAGCTATTTGTCAATGCATAACTGTGTCAAACTTCCTCTAGTGGCTGCATTACTGCTTAGAAGGTCTGTATGCTTCTGCTCAGCTTTAGTGTATCTATGCAAATACTAAGCGGGTTTCCTTAAATGGCATTTGAAGCTTTACAAAAAAAAATAATCGCTAAAGTTGGCCACATTTTTTAATTAAAAGAAAAGCGTAAATGTCTTTATTAAACAAGCGTTTCAAGTAAACATCGCAACAGGCTTATAAAGCTTGCCGGGACTTTGTGTTTATCTAATCGAGTTTTGGAAACTTGCGTTGCTGGCACAGACACATAATATTGATGAAACAATTAAAAGACGAAATATTAATAGAGTGACCAAAAGTCACAAAAAGCTTTTACCGGTATATAGGCATTTTAGGTGCTTGCATAAAAAGAATAACTAACAGTGGTAAAGGTTTATTTTTCAATGTAAATTGTCCTCACTAAATACAGGCCCCGAAAGAACTCGTTATTTTGGGTAGCCCCAGCCATGAAGTTGGTATGTCATAAACACTATTCTGTGACTAAGTGTTTTAAAGCGGCACGGGGATATGGCACACAAGTTTTAGAAAGATAAAAACCCACATAATAACTATGCTACAAGACCTATTAGCTGTAAAAGCCAGTCAGATAGCCGACTCTTGAATGTGTTCCCTCAATAAGTAGTCAACATAAAAAGAACCGACCATACAGCCCATTACATCCGCTTGGCAGTGAAAGGAATTGATGGTTGCACGGTCGAAAATTACGGTACACGTGCCAATAATTGAATGGTAGCACACGACAGGAGACGTGCAGAACGAACACTCAAGGGAGTACAGTGCACGTCCTGAGCAACAAACCGTTAGAAAAAGAAAGAAAATGTTGATGCAACATCCAGTCAAGCGGTGGTTACTCAACCCTCAAAATTCTGAGTCGACATTGCACACTCACCAGTGGTGCTTGTACTGCTTCATCATGCCCTTCTTGAGCAGCTCCAACTTGGCCATGGACTCTGGCTGGCTCTTGCTATAGAACTTGGAGCAGAGCGGAGTGCATGTCTTGTTCTCCATGAAGTTCATCTGAGGGTGGTCCATGAAAGAAGCGCACAAGTGTGGGCATCTTCAAACGTCAATTGTGCGTTAAAACAATATCCTTAGATTGAATCGGACGTGGAGCTCTCAAAACCATACCCAAGTTTGGCAGCAATCACACCTACGACAATTTTCTTTGCGACCGACATACCGTAGGCTCGCGATAATACAAACTCTGATATTTCATGCTTCTGGTGAATTCAAACACATTTCAAAATTTCGGTTGTCCCGCTATGTTTTCAATGTATTTATAAGCTGCTTAATTGTAACAGCGTTTTCGTGTAATTCATACTTTTGGTTCCCGCTACTCCGTTGAGCATGCTTCTTTCCGAGCATAGGTGCACTGCAGAGAAGCGATACCTGCAGAGCTCTGCTTCTCTGCAGAGCACCGGTGGTTGGTAAGGAGCGTAATCAACAGGATTAAAGCAGGGGACACGCGTTATGAAAACAGCCGCTGCACCATAGCATAGCATTTTCCATGGCATTTTGCGCGGGCGCCACATGGAATACGTCCACGTCATGTCGTCCTTGCAGTTGCTATGGAAACTGCCTTGCGGCACCTGTTTTCATCGCTCATGGGTCCGCTGCTTAGTAGCCCACAATAGACAACTGTTTTGATGGATGAACAAACTTAATTTTGTTTTGAAATGTCATGTGCTGACCAAACAGACCACAATAAACAACCTTTTTGAGGAATGAATGACCTTACATCATACATTTCACCAATGTGCCATGTGTGACATACCTGCTTATGATCAGTAGGCTTGTGTAGGATAAATCAGCAAGTACAGGGTATGTCCCAAAAGTTCCTGGAATAGTTTTTTTTATAATTTCAAAGTATTCTCCCCCTGCTTCGATGCGCCGTTGCCAAAGCTTCACCCAATCACTGAAGGCGCCCTGGAAGCCGTCAACGGGAACCTCCTTCACTGAGGGCGTCCAGCATCCCATGCCAAGTTCCTTTCAAGGTTCTTTTGATTATTGGGAACAAAAAAAGTCTGGTGGTGTCAGATTGGAGCTGTACGTAGGCTGGGGCAGCGTTGGCACACCCATTTTGGCCAGCAACTCGGAGACAATGAGCGCGGTGTGGCTTGACGCGTTGTCATGGTACAAGATCCAGTTGTTGCAAATTTCTTTTCGGACTCGTCGAACCCTATTGCGCAACTGTCTGAGCACTTGACAGTAAAACTCCTTGTTCATTGTTTGTCCCTGTGGCACGAATTCGTTGTGAACCACACCTTTTACCTAAAAAAATACAATGAGCATTGCCTTGATTCGCGATTTGCTCATCCTTGCTTTCTTTCGGGCGAGGAAACTCCGTGGTGTGCCACTCGCTGCTCTGACACTTTGATTCGGGATCATACTCGAAAATCCACGTCTCGCCCCCTGTGATCACACTGTCCAAAAATTCTGGGTCCGTTTCGAAGTGTTCATGCAATTCCTGGCACTTCAACAAACGCTCTTCCTTCATCTCACTCCTCGGGACCTTTGGCACAATATTCGCGCAGACTTTCCTCATTTGGAGATTATGTGTGAAAATGCGATGAACGATTGTTTTGGGTATTCCACACTCCTCTGCGATTATCCGAAAACTTAATCGCTGGTCCTTGCCCAAACCTTGACGCACTTTTTGCACCGAGTCATCCGTTTGTGATGTCAACGGGCGTCCCGAGCAATCGTCGTCGTTGACAGGCTCCCAATCTTCTCGGAATCTTTTGTGCCACATAAAAGTTTGGCTTTGTTTCATCGCGTCGTCCCCGTAGGCTTTCTGAAGCATTTTAAGCGTCTCCGCCCCGTTTTTACCCAGTTGCACACAAAACTTGATTGCATAACGTTGCTCCAAAAACTAGTCCGTTTTTTCTCGACGAGGGTGCAGTAGATACCTCCGCGCGGAGCGCAGAGGTACCATATAATTGCATGTAAGGGCCGGACCCATGTAAGGGCCGCACCCCCGTATTTAGGACAAAGTATTGCAAAAAAAAAGATATTGCAGAAATTATTCGCGTATGTGCCGCTCCCCCTTGTTTTTGAGGCGCGCGGACTGTAATCCCATGTTTCTATGAATATATATCGCTAGGTGGCGCTAGCCACCGCCCGAGCACGTAGCGGCACGTGTTAGCATCCTTGATATTTGCTCTCCACTCATTCGTATTACCGTATGGCATAATGGCTGTCGACCTCAATCGTGGTTGGCCGCACTGTCGGGATGCATTTATGTTGAGGCAAGGCATTCAGAAAAAATAAGGGATATGTCAGGTTCCGTGGCAAGCGCGAGGAATGGGGATTCAGAGGGCTCGGCTCGCGCATACACTCAGGTTTCGGAACGCTACTGTACGCTCTGGGGAGGTTTCCTTTTGTTCTTCAATTCAAGTCAAAGCGTCGTGATTTGTCTGCCTTTTCGCGCAATTTGGGAGCTATGGGCAAGTACCACTTCAACAGTTATACGGGATTCAAGCCGAAAATATCCGCACATGCCATCAAATACGGCAAAAAAAAAAAAAAAGTACTGCGCAGTATGTAAACTACCGTATTTACTCGCAGATTGAACGCACTTTTTTTCCCGAAAAATCGATGCAAAGTTGGGGGTGCGTTCATTACGCGAAGTAAAATTTTTGCCTCCGTATTTACTCACATAATGAATGGCCCTTTTATCCTGAAAAAATCGAAGTAACTTCCTATCTCTTTGCGCGCGGCGCCCGACCCCATAACCAAACTAAGCTGTGCAAAAAAAAAAACAAAAAAAAAAAAACTCCTCATTGTTTTTTTTTTTTTAATTTCTTGGGTGTTTTTTTTTTTTTGCCGCCTTTCGCAAGCTGTTTTGTTTGCTTAGGCGAGGGCTCTCCGTTTATCTTCCTTATCTCCTTGCGCGCGGCGCTTGACCCTTCGTAACCAAACTTCGCCGTGCAAAAAAAAAAAAAAAAAAAACGAAAAAAAAAGGCTTTTCTTTGCTTTTGTTTTCTCTTAGTTCCGTGGTTTTTTTTTTTTTTCTTTTTGCCGCCTGTCGCAAGCTGTTTCGTTCGCTTAGAGCGCTTCTCTTTTTTCCCTCCTTGCCCACAATGGCGCGCGAACCCAAAATCCAAACTGCGCTGTGAAAAAAAAAAAAAAAAGCTCTCCATGTTTTTTTTTGTTTCCGTTGGACCTTTGCCAATTTTTTTAACGCCTCCTGCAAGGCGTTTTGTTCACTCACGCTGCCCATGCACTCGCGACCTCGCTGCACTGAGATAAAAAAGTGCGTTCATTTCGCGCGCGTGGGGGGAGGGGGTCAAAATTTTGACATTCGAGTTGAGGGTGCGTTTATTACGCGAGTGAAAAAAAAAAAAAAAGTCGAAATTTTGAGAGCCGACTCGGGGGGAGCGTTTATTACGCGAGTGCGTTCATTGTGCGAGTAAATACGGTAATTAAATCCGACTGACAATTGAGTCCGGATTCCAGAATGAGGGCTTTTCCGACCAGTGCAGCCAAGCATGCTCATGTACGTTCATTTAGGAATGTGGGCACAGATATTTTCTTTTAATCCGTGTAAGGGCCGCACCTCGAAAATTTGCCCTCAAATCGGGAAGACATAGTGTGGCCCTTACACGAGTCTATACGGTATCTTCTGCATCCTCGTCGAGTCGTAGAGGTATCTACAACTGCAGAAAACTGAGACCGGTCTCGTTTCGAAGCTTAGATCGCCCACTAACTTCTCTACCCGAAGCCCCGCCCCGCCAGGCGGCGTTGCTGACTACAAAAAATCATTCTGGGAAGTTTTGGGACAGACCTTGTGTCTGCTTTGTATGTGTAGCCATCCATATAGCAAATGATAATTTTATCTTGCATCATATTTGAATGAATTTCTGATAATTCAAAGAAAATTTATGGCTTCCTGGAGTTTGAATTAATGAGAGCCTACTGTATTCTTACCACCTTTGCATTCTGTATGGATGGGAAATGCAGAGATGCTAGGTTACTCTTAGAAGTAACTAAGTTAGTTACAGTTCTTTGAGCTGAAGCGTAATAACTTACAAAATCAGTGATATTTTAGCAACTACAAAGTTACCCTTATAGCTCCTTGCAAGACAAAAACTAAGTTATGCTGCATTTACTTTAAAAATATCCTACAATGTTCGGGTGTGCGGCAACTTAAACACTTCTTTGCAGTCCTTGTAATACCAGCAGACAACAGCTTAAAATAAAACACAGTGCCTCCATGCAGCAAATAAATCCTGTCTTTAAAAAAAATATAAAAAATCCACATTGCATTTTTACAACACCAAAAGATATTGTTAGTCACAATCAATGACAGTTTAGGTAGTGAACATTGATTAGAGCCATAAGCTCCTTTTTGGAAGGGCATGTGCCCTCCGACACATTAGATGTGAGGGAAACCCCCTTTCTAGATCCACTGCAAGGCTGACCTACCGACGCTGCACTAGTACATGGGTTCTGACCTAGCAAAAACGAGTTAGTAACTTTCACTAGTCAAAACGACCCTGCTGTCACTGAAAGCTATAGATTACACGCAATCTGTTTTCTGGGGTATTGGAACCTAGGGAAATCGTCAAAACGCACTTTCTGCAAGTGGAGAACTCCTGGTAAATGAATTATTTGACAGTGACGGAAAACACGTAAGAACTTACGATGTAGGGAGAGAGGCGTATCCGCTCGCCGAACACAACCTGCCCCAGGTTTTCGGCCGGGGAGGTGGCTTCGCTCGACGTGCAGAAGTCGAAGCTGCGGGGACAGGAGTGGCACATTTCAACGCTGGAGACAAACTCAGGTCCCAAGTCAACTAATATTTACCCAGGCCTTAAGCCAAGTTTGCTTACTTGGTACCAGACAGAAGCATTGTCTGGGGCATAGCAAGACATTTAGAGGTGTCCCTATTTGTGTGCTACGCTTAATATGCTTTCTGCATTGCATGTTTTATGTAGGTTCTCCATTTTCCTGATTACAAAAAGCACAGCCCCCAAGCTGCCCACAACTCCAAAGAGACACTATACATTCTGTGCTTGATGTTGAGAAGTCAATGAGACAAACATTAGATTATCAGTTGTCAGCAACCTTCACTGAATGTTTGCTCACCTCTTGAGCCGACAAAGCTTATTTCATAAAACAAGAAAAGAAAGAAAATTAACCTGAGCACGCAGTGCAACAACAAAAGAAACAGAAGATGTATGATATCCCAGCAGGGTTACATTTCACTTCAGGTTGACATGAATAAAACTACAAACCTTTATACTGGACCAATGTTACAAAGACATAGAATCTGCTGATGGGTTCTATTCCTCAACGTTCCTAAACATGATGTGACAATAGGAATTCAACATCTTTTTATTTTTAACCAGGAAAAGGGTTGTCCACCTGGCGCATAATGAAATTTTTGTACATTTCGAGGTACACACGACTATTGCCTTCCGAAACACATAACCAATGCAGAGTTAATTTAAAATATCAAATGTTCAGTGCCCTTTATAACTGCAAAAACATTTCTTTAACACAGGAGGAGCTATAGCCTCGGAGGGTAGAAAATAAAATAGGCCACTTTCAAAGATCTCTCCGATTGGCCACGGAGCGGAGTGGCATGGTTTCGGTTTCGATCAGACAGCCACTGTCTGATCGAGACTCCTGCAGCCAAGCACGTAAACTTCCAAGCCTGCACAACTTTTCTTCACGCGCATGCGAACGTGCTTGCACGAAGGGGGCACCAGCAGGGACGTTGCAATCCATCGTTCTACATTTGCTTATCTTTGCCCAAAATCCGGCACATCGGGAACCACAAAACAGTGCCAAGTGGTTTTTCTTCCGGTATCTCTCAGCAATGCCTACAGTATTGTACACTTGTACGAAGTCGCAGGAATGAAAACGCACGCAGCGTGTTCCATCACGATACAATGATCGTGACAAAATCTGAAACTGAACCCAAAACTAAGTGGCCAACCGGTACCCAGAATTCATTTCGCACCACCGTGCCACCAGGGGCACTTCGATTAGGGGGAAAAGATCTATTCGAGATTGCAGTTGTGATATAAATCATGATTACAATTAAACTTTTCCCACACATACAATCCCCAAAAGATTTTTTTATCTACCATTTGGCTATCACTTGATGCTTTTATGCACATTCGTTTTATATTAAAAAAAAAAAAATCATTGAGCAAGAAAGATATATAGCAGGCTAAACATGAGCAAAAAACAGTGCTGTTCTAAGCAAATCAAAGCATTAACTTCCTTTTCACCTTCCACTTCATTTGGAATTTATGTAATGTTATACTGCAAGCAAATCAGAATGTGGTAGAAAAATATTAAAACTAATGTCCTACATCAACCAAATCAAAATGCAAAAGAAAAGCAAAAAAAAAAAAAAAAATTAATCCAAGAATTATTGTTTTTTTTTTTTCTGGTATGGCAGGTTTTACATAAATTAAAAATTGTTATTCCAAATTTACTCTTAATTTACAGTAACTACTTCTGAATTGTTAACCCTATCATGATCGGACCAATCAATCAATCAATCTGCCATGTTTAAAAATACATCTAGTGTTAAAGAGACACTATCTTTAACCACAGCGATTTAAATTAGATTAATCTGATTTAAATAAAATAAATCTAATTTATTTAATTTTTTCAGAACAAATTAAGACATCTTTTTGCTTCCGCCATAGAGATTGCCCCCCAGTTTCCTGTAATGCACTTCCCGTTATGCCCCACACGAGGCACAGGTCGAGCATGAGTGCTGCCTCAGTATTCGGCTGAAAATTATGTCCTCACTGATTGAATTCCCAGCGAATTGCTCATGCAGCACTCGCGTGAAATCTATCCTGCGGTGACCACAGGTGGATGATATACAAAATCCTGTACCACAGTCTTGTCAACTAGAGGTTGTTCAGCGAGGGCACTCGCACATGTGGTGCAAAAAAATGCAGAAGGCGACAGAGAAGAGAACAAACGTGCACTTTACAGGAAACAGAGCCACCAAATGAAGGGGTCAAAGCTGGGGTTTCCACCCCCGCTCGCAAGAGAGTCTTTCCGTCAGACACGCTACACACAATGACATTTGTGCTTTCGACACAAAATCCACACCAAGCTCATCTGTGCGGCATCGTCCACGAAGAAACACACAATACATCCTTTGTTACCACTGCTGTTGCCATTACAAAGTGGAAAAGTGCAAATTTTTTGTTTTTCACAACAGCCTGCTTGTGGACAAAACACAATAACAACAACAAAAGAGCCGTTTTGCAACGACAAACTTGTTTGAGCTTACCCAAAGGAAACCTTCCAACTAAACAATGCAACGAAGGGCCACAAGTCGCTGGCATTTCCAGTCGATGCAACCGTAAAGCAAGCTTCAAATTCTGGCCATGCCCTGCTCACCGTAACTTGGCAAAGAGCAAACGCCATGTCCTCTTCCAGCCAATCGGGGCGACGGAGGCGAAGTGCGTGAAGGCCCTTACCGAATGTACAAAGGCGAGGGCGTAGCCCAACCAGTTGGGGAAGGAGGGACCCTCTTCCTAACCACATCCCCTATTGTGTGTCTCAGACGTCGTTTATTCCCCCTCAAGAAGATTGGCACATCACTCAAATTCGTACCAAAGCGGCTTTTCTCTCTTCCTCTCTTGGCTTCAACAGCACAGCACTGCACACAACTAGTAAGGTAGAGTGAAATCATATGTCTCCTTCCAACACACCAATCGGCTCACCGAGACCATAGCCTTCACCAGAATCAACTCTTAAAGCACTTAACAGGTATCAGGAGACATGCCACAATTGGGTTAGACCCCTTGGAAATGCAGAACACAAAAGAAATTCCCACAACCAGTAGCTACCGGTGGCACTGAAAAGTCACGGTGACGGCACAATCAGACATCCGGTTTCTCGGTGCAAGCTTCCTTTTCATGGGCCCTCCAAGAAAGACGAGCTGCGTGTCAACTGTCACCAACTTGACAATGAGCCAGCTCAGGTAGGCAGTGAGCTTAAATGACAGTCGGAAGACATTTCCTTTTAATCACTTTGCATAACTGGTGGCAATAGCTTGACAAGCTCTGTAGTGTACTTTTAACAGGAGTTGTTAAAGCATTGCAAATTTTGGGCATCGTCTGTTCCATGTGTGTGTAGTCTGTGTACTTAGCTGTAAGGAGAAACTGGCTTACAGAACTATCATGCAAGCACTTCGTACAATAGTAGTAGATAGACAGAAATACTTTGTATGGCTTTGATACCCGTTTTCTAGCAATCGCTTCATAAGAGATTCTTCTAAGCGGAAAAACCTTGCATAATATGTAAACCAACCACGTCAATCACACCACAAACAAATATTACGGCTTACTGTAAGCTGGGGGTGACAAGTTTGATGGCGTGGAACGAATTCAGTGCGAGTTCAAAGCCAGTTCACGTTTGTTGGCAATGCAAGCGGCTGTCTCGAAATGTCTTTCGTTAAGACGTTTAATTTTTGTACCTTGAACACATGTCTGTTCTGTCACGTGTGCAGTTTCCATTGCTCAGATATTTTAGAGATGCAGCTTCTGTCTGTTTGCCTCGTACATACAGTCCACGAAAACCTTACATTCCCTTGTTATACTAAAGTGCTCAAATTTACTGTTTCTACACAGCGAAATAGTCGTTAATATTGTTATGTACGGTTGTTGTTTGCTGTTTTCTGTTTACCCAACACAACACCAACTCGTTAAGCAATTAAGAAATAAATAACGATGACTTACTGCTGGTATTCGTAAGGAATGACCGACTCATCTGAATCCAGCCGGTTCACGTACAGGTTCACCTTGGACTGCATCGGAGGTAAAAGAAACAAAGAATTGTAGTTTAGGGGTAATGCTCACTAATTATGGCTTGCACGTGACGCCACTGCAGCATACTAATGGTCATTCCAACTTGTTCTTGCCGAGACAAACAAACAAGGCATGTGAAATATATGCTGCACAAGGTATGTGTGCTACACAAGGTACTTCACACTGGCCGCCGATGTGATGTCAGTCAACTCTTAACATTAGCTTTGTTCGATTTCCCTGCACCTTGCACACCGGTGCATAAAAGCACAGGGAATGTATTTTTGGTATCATAGACCGGAAGTAGACGGAAGTACACCGCCCTACATTTTTCTGAATAGGTGCAAGTAAATCGAAGCTATTATTAACAGTTCATAACTATGTGCCAGCAAGAAAATAACAGCTATTTTAACTGCTAAAATGGAGCAAGGAGCGCAGCATACAAGTTCCCTAGGTCTCAATTTTACTTTTAGTTGTTAACAACCCCCTCCCCTCCTCCCCTCCCTCCCTCTCTCCCCCCCCCCCCCCCCCCCCCCTTCCCCCCAGAAAAAAAGAAAAACAAGTAGGCAGTCGTAACGAAGTCGCTTGTCCAAACAGCTGCTGCTAAAACGACGCAAACACGACCGGAAAGAGACAAAATTTGTCTGAGACAGCACGCAAAATGGCCAGCACTAAACGAGGGCCGACAAACGTGCGAACTACCTCCACTTATCGGTGATGACTCGCGAAGCAGCGCACATCGCACCCACACACACAAACAGTAAAAAAAAAAAAAAAAAAAATTATACATGTAATGATACTAACAAAAGAAAAATGATTATTTAAAACGCCAAATACCTTCAGACTGAGGAACCAACACAGTCTCAGGTATTTGTCTCAGGTGTCATACAGTGCGTCATGTCGCGTAGATTAGGCGATAAAACAACTTAATCTAGGTGAAGCTGTAAACGCGTCGACAGCTCGACACACTGCGCGCAAATTCGTCTCGTGTCCGTTCGAAGGCCTTCGGAGCATAACGGAGAAAAAGTATGCTGTCAGACCTTCGCGAAAAGGAATCTTTGAAACATTGCCAGCGCCGAAACTTGCAAAGGGTACTCATTATTCCCGTCCGTGCGGCATAAGTACGCGTTCCAGGCAAAATAGAATAAGTACGAACAGCGCAGAGCTGGGTTATGGAATTAAAAACCAAAGAAAAAGAGAATCGGGGACGAGCGCTGACGATGCCTGACGATCAAGGCTGATGCGTCGACACGAAAACGACATGGGTTAGGTTTGAAGCCTATGGTTTCGAGACCGCCGAGCGGGAGGACACAGGTGCATGTTGGCTTCGATGCATCGAGCGTAGGAGTCCTTACCTGGCATTGCGAAGACGTAGCGCCTTCTTTACAGTAGTTAACAGGGGCCAATCCTGGCAGATAAAATGCCGCTGTGTACCGCAGTACAGTCGCGAGCACAGCACATAGTAGTACGGGGATCCTGCCACACATTTCGGGGTGGGAGCGTTTCTGAGGTCCAGGACGAGAGTCCGGCGAGGGGTAAAAAAAAAAATTAAAAACCACAATCTAAAGAGCCACGCAGAGTCGACGAAGTCGGGGCACGGCGCAGCAGAGCGGCACAGCGAGCGAGCGGTACAGTTGGTACAGTCAGCCGTGTTCCACGCACTCCAGGCGGCGTGTCTGGTGCACTAACATCCGGTATACAAATGTCGATCACTTCCTGCCACGGTTGTTGGGCTTTTAATGCTAGAAAAACCTAAATTAAACCGAAAATAGAAAAAAAAGGCAGAATGTTTTGAAGGAAGAAAACAAAATTGTAGGATGAGATCAACGTTACGAAAACACTCAGTTGGGAAACTCGCCGTCGAAACCTGGGCCGCTGGCGTCCACCGAGACCGAGCTAAATGCGACAACAGCGCCACTCTTTATCATTTGTCTGTACTGTGGTTACCTTGAGCTTTTTGAAAGCCTGTTTTTGCGTAAAAACAAACGAAAAAGACTCTTTTTGTATGAAATTTATTGGAGTTTAGTACAAAAAAAGGGGCGCGTTATGTTTTTAAAATCTTTAGTTTGCAGGGTTTTGCGGCACAATTAATATTGTTTTTATACAACCATGTCTCAGCGGGCCTTTCAGGTAGCACGTCCCGCCCTAGGTGCGTTTTAACTTCGATAGCTCATCGCGGCGCGGCGGCGCGTTCGCCGGGGAGGCGGGGGTGGCACAACCTCTACCACTGTATCTGTTCTTAAAGCCAAAATAGAAGTCACGTGCAGTTCCTCGAGTGGCCGCTGCGGGAGAAATGGTGGCGTTGTGTTCGTCATTAGCTCGGTGCTCGGAGACAGTTTGGGGCCACTTCTTGAAAGCTGTCTCTATGGGAGTTTCCCAACTGAGTGTTTTAAGGGGTATTCACACGAGGGAGAAATCCCGGGGATTTCTCCCCGGCACGCGCGCATCACGAGACGAAAACGCGAGGCTTTTGCACATCACAAAGCCTGACGTTTTCGTCGTGGCATGCGCGTGCCGGGGAGAAATCCCCGGGATTTCTCCCTCGTGTGAATACCCCTTTAGTAACGTTGGATGAGATACAGTGGCCTCCCATATTTCAGTATATACAGCGCCAAAAAACGACAGGACAAAGACGAGAGTAAACAGGACGAGGGCGCCTCGTCCTGTTTACTCTCGTCTTTGTCCTGTCGTTTTTTGGCGCTGTATATACTGATCATGAACCAACTAGCCCAAATTTCTACTTTGCTGCAGTTCCCATACTTCCTTTCACCTTATGGCGAAATCGGGTGGTCAATCGCCCGCGAGTCCTTCTCATCACGGGCGGCACCGAAGTCCGGTAAAACGGGTAAAACCCATAGAGATCATACAGGTAAAACCACTGGTAAAACAAATCAAGTTGCTAGGGCAAGGGAAAGAAAGGCCGGGGAGGAGGAAGCCGTGCCGACGGAACCACTAATCTCTATCGTTTCTATAATAATTGCTGGATTGCGCTTCCCCGCTTGTTCGCTGCAGTGCGAGTAAAGCCACCGGACGGCCATCTTGCTTGTAGTCGATTTGCGGTTTTGCTGGCGTTACCAGGGCGTTACCAAGGAGGTTAGAAGTACTAGGAGAGAGCACGTTGCAATATTGGTGAAGCCTAGTCATAAAAAGTTTAAACGATGTGGCCAACGTGACCATAGATCTCTGTGGCTATTGGTGCGCGTGACATGTCACGTGTGAGATAGATGGTCGATTGTAGGACTCCTTGCAGGCTTGCGCCATAGAGATCATACATACTAACTATAGAGGAAAAGGTCGGCCATTTTCCCATACATTCTGGCTGCCGCAAGCGGCGGATCATGCAGGCAGACCCTCGGGGTCCCAAACACGGTTACATCATCAGAGCAGTTTCGTGAACTCTCTATGACTTCAACAATCCACGAACTTACCGGTGGAAAGATATTCGCGTTCCTTTCGAAGCTTTTTTTTTTTTTTTTTGCATAGCGCGCAGATGTACGGCCTCGCGTTAACGCTAAACTAAACCATATACCCGGCTTCGCCGATGGGGCGCGGGTGGGCGCGGTTGAGGAATACGAAACTGCGCAACCACCAGATTTCCGAGATTTCGACAGAAGGAAAGTTAATGCAGCGTAATGACTTTATTGCTTTTTATAAGCGTTAGAATAGCTCAGAATTTAGTTTACAACGTTAAATTATCACTGTTTATATTGCTGAGAGTTTTCATTCTTCGCGTTTATCATGGCAACGTTGCTTTCTTTCTCTCGTGTTCTGTCGCTCTCTTTTGCGATCGTTCACTCGGGACCCCGGGTGTCGGCGCACGGCATTTGCCACTCCTCCTCACCCACCTTTACCCCCCCTGGCTTGCGCGCGCTCCGTCCGGTAGGTTTTATCAGGTCGAAGGCTAGCCTGTGGTGCATTTTAGTACCCCATAACTAGACGAAGGCTAGCTACGGTCACGTGATGTGGCCACGTTGGCGTGGTAAGCGAGGCGAGGCGTCAAGGGAGCATGGCTTGTGGAGGCTACACGGCTGCCGTCATGCCCTCTCCTACGCTTCTATCCTCCTTGGGCGCTACAGAGGCTGGCGGCGGCGTGCTGTAGACACGTTTTCTACTCGTTTGTAGCCATTCACTGAAGAAGTTTTTTGAGACCCTGTGTAACCATTGAGACTTGCCGTTGTAAACACGTGGAAAATTTTACTAAAGCGCAGCGCCGCAAAACAAAGGCACGACACGTTGAAAGCGAGTTTCGCTGGTTTCGCGGCGTAATCAAAGCTTCCTTGGCACGCCAAAGTGCTGCGTCTCTGTGCTTTCGCACGCTTAGATACCGATCAAGATTCGTTTCGGCGCCGAGTGGATGTGTTTTGCGAGTGCAATGAAGCCCTATGTACCATTGGGCAGCGTTTTACTCTTACTCCGACTACTGTATTTGTAACTTGCGGCACTCGCGGTACAGACACAAGCTTAACCCAGCGTTCAGTCACCACAAAAGAGGAGGGAAGGGAGGGGAAGGGGGCGGGACTAGCGGCACGTTTTTTGTTTTGTTTACTAGACGCTTATGGCAGTCAAATCAGCAGTACAAAAGGCACAGAGATGCAGCATTTCGGCGTGCCAAGGAAGCTTTGACCATGCCGCAAGACCGGCAAAACTTGCTTTCGACGAGTTGTGGCTTTTTCCTGCTGCACTGCACTTTTTGTAAACATTTCCACGTGTTCTCAACAGCAAGTCTGTTGAGAACACATTACTGTGAGAATACAGAACATGTTACACAGGGTCTTAAAAATCTTCGAAGAATCACGACGAACGAGTAGAAAACGTGTCTTTAGCACGCTGCTGCCAGCCTCTGAAACGCTAGCAAAACCACAAATCGCCTACGAGCAAGATAGCCGTCCGGAGGCTTCACTCGCACGAGCGGGAAGTGCAATCCAGCACTTGTCATTGAGATCAGTGGACGGAACGCTGGAGAGGATAGGGGGAACCTCCCTTTCCCTCACCTTATCTTCTCGAGCTGCCACCGGCAACAAAAAACGCGCCAGCTGCGCACTGATTGCACCACGTGACCCTTTCCACACGAACACAAAATGCCGGCAACAGGCATTTTCGTTTACTTGGGTCGCACATGAGCTTCGTTAACCTCATACGTCAACATAAATTCGAACTCTCTCAGATGTGCGTAAACACAAGTGGCTTCACAATAATTTTCGAAATTTGGCATTACCAGTCTGCACAGCTTACAGGACCTTAAATTATAAAATTAATGGGAGGGCAAATTAATAAATAAGTGTGGTCCTGCCCACACACGCGTCGACTTTCATTATATTTTGTTTGAATTTCTGAAGGACTGTTGCCATCCTACAAATCTCTCAATACTTGCCAGCGTCGCATCTCATATTCTATAGTCATTTTTTTTTTTTTTTTTTAAGTCTTCTCGTTGCATCCCACCCGCCCCATTTGAAAGTGTGATGTATGTTCAAGTGTCAAGTTACATTACTATCCATTTTTTTTTTATAGCAGTGTAATAAAATGGCAACTTGCTATTGGCGACCATTGTTTTGTTAGGCTCCACTCCCAATTCGGATACGACGGTACTGGATAGTCTGATAGACAACCTGCCAGACCCCTTGGAGCTCCGACAAAAATGGTGCCAGCAAATTGCTGGCACAGGCCTGAAAAGTTCCACCCAAACGGCACCCACCCACCGGCCTTTGACCACGCAAACGCTTTTGCCAAAGATATGGCCAAATATTTTGACGGGAAAAAAACACTCGAATTAGCCATAACCACTGATGAGTTACTCCAGGTCACCACTTATTGAACAAGTGAAAATAAAAATTTTCGTTTCTATAACCTTTGAATTGGATGCAAGGTAGACCCTGCTTCATAACGCTAGGCGACTTGCACAAAGTTTCGAGCATTGTGGATGCATTTTTCTTGAGTGACATGGACACGAGGGCTCTTTCCTGTACAATCTCAATGGACGACAAGATGCATCAGTTTCAAAAGGTGAAATAAATTTACCCAGTCCACATTCTCACACTTGTTTTGATACTTCGGGTAAGACAATAGTAGATAGTTCCAATAATATTGAACGAGTCATTTGTCGTTTTTTTTTATTGTGTTGCTAATACTCATAAAAGCCTGCCAGGACATGAAAAAAACAATACAACTTTTTTTTCATTGAAATTTTAGTACACAATTTATTTGTAAAACTATAAAACACAAAACACAGTCTGCCTACAAATGCTAAACAGCAGACACTAATCACAGAGAGAATAAGATCAGAAAAGAAACTGGTTCAACAAATCATATGTAAGAACCCCCTGGACGGCATGACACGCCTGGATGTTTCTCTTACAAGAAATGTCGGGAAAAAACAAACACACTTGCTCTCCACTAAATAAATATGGTAGGGAAATATTGAAACGAGCATGACTACCAAGATTAAAAACTGCCTAGGGAGTATAAAATGCACCAGTGTCTCTTCATCCCACGATGGACGTGAAGTGCGTCCCGCTCGTCCAGAGCTCGGCGGGGACGAATAAGAAAATGATTGCAAATGTGAAGTGTACGTTGAGTACAAGTGAATGACACGCGTGCCTTTCAACCTCACCGCATCACTTGCAGGGTGCTCAAGGGGGAGAAATACGTACGTATTACGAAGGAATGCTCGACGAGACTTTTGGCAAGTAACAATGTTTGTCATAAATTTAAAACTTCCTCAAGCCGACGGTACAAGGAAACCTAGTGATACGCCAGAAACGCAAACCGGACCCCAGACTACAAAGACTTGTACAAAACATGTACGACATATACAAAACAGGAACTGAAAACACTAAACTTAAGAACTGCAATAAAAAAGAAAAAAAAAAAAATGAGTGCGCATAATCTCTTGAACAATCACGAAAGACATTAGAGAGGATTACAGGCTGGTATTTACAAATGTGAAACGACGAGCGGAGTCATGTTTTGTTCATGCGTTTCGCCGCCTCCAAGGAAATGGCCATAAAGACATCTTTAAAGGCTTCGCTGTCGAGGGACGAAAGGAACTCTGGCATCCACTGAAGCAGCAAGTCCTTCGAGGTCGAGACTTCTTGGTCGGACTGTGTCGGTGTCTCCGCTGTTGGGAAGAAAAGACGGGAAGAGCAAGGTTCATACAAGCAAGTGACGTAGGTGCATTCTGAGGTTTTTCAAGAGCTTTCAGCAGGAAACCATTAACGGTGTGGAACCAGCATGAACACCTTGTGACCTTGCCTGGTGAAAGGCAGACCAAAACGTCAAACATGCATGTTTTCGACACTCTGATGCGAAACACTTCACGGTAGAGTTTTCAGATGACCCTCTTGCCCTTATTGGACAACCAACCCCTTAAAGGGATTAGCATTCACACAAGGCCCATCCACACAGCACCGTTTCCTCACGTTGCATTACATTATGGGAGCTCACTTCACATTATGCTGAGTTACGACCCTGAGCCACTGGATCTTCATGATTTGTACGAAGCGTGGCAACCAAATAAAAAAGTAGCTCTGCATGCGGTTGTGTAAAGACATAAAAAAAGCAAAAAAACAAGCAAATGTTTCTGTGTAAATGGGCCCCTATGCGTCCCCAAAAACACGCTATTCCTACAAAGAAAGTCAATATTTCGGCACATGTTTCGAAAGTCACCAGCACTACACTTGTAGATGGGGGGGTCCTTTGCATATGTGCAGTGAAAGTGCCACTCGAGCCTATGCTGTAAAATGTAAGATAAATGAACAGAATTGCACATGTGGCTCAGCCACAGATGTGAAAAGTGTGGATGCAGTCTGGACGTAGATCACAAAATCGCCCCCAACTGTCGAGGACTTTACTCACCAGCATTTGCGGTTTCCCTTATCAGAGCGCCGCTGCCTGCCTCCACAGCCTCCGTCGGGGCTGTGTCTTGGAGTTGTGTGACTGGAGACATGACGACCTCACTCGGGGCTGTTGTCTTTGGGGCCTCTGTTCCAACACTAGGTTCAGCCAGGATGGGCGGAGCAAGCAGGCACTGCAGGGCAAAAAATACTTTCACTACCAGCTAACTCTGAAAAACTTGAGCAGGAGTTAACCTAAGAAGAAAAAAGGAAACAAAAGCAACTGCAACCATCCACATAGGAACCATGATAGGGGAGAAAAGAAAGGCTCTGGGTCTACCCTAAAGCAACTGAACATTGCACCACTACATCAGAGTTGCAATCAATGTTTTGTTAAGCAGCTGTATCAAATTGGGGTGGCAAGAGCTTATTTTAAAGAAGGAAAATAGGCCAACATTCTCCTTTAGATCAGACAACAGGTAGAGAAGGGCAAAGGGAGGGGAGACGTCATGGAGTTTACTGGCACAGTATATCCAAGGACAGTGGACGTTGTAGGAACAAGGAAGGCACAGACACTGCACTGGCTTCAAGATGGCTGACGCCAACCAATCGGAAAACTCGACTGGCTTGCTTCTCCGTTCAAGGAGACACCGTGGTCACCTGAGAACATGTTCAGTGGCTATAGTCAGCCCCTAAAGGTCTGCAGAAAGAAGGGTGGTGAGCTTGTTTTCTGTCCGCACGTAAGGTTGCCACCTTTCCACGAAAAAACCCACAAAAAACCAGCCATGTAAGAGGAGATGGGGGGGGGGGGGGGGGGTGTAATTATGTGGGATTGAAACAGCATAAAGAAAAATGCAATATTGACAACCTGTAATGCACAAATAAAATTTATTTTGACATGAGCTTCTTAAAGTGAAATCAATTAAGGTGGGACTAGGGTTCTTAAATATGTTTTTTTTTTATTTATTGAGATACCTCGCTGAAAATTGGCATGCATTGGATGGTGATTTCAAATCTGCAGTTGAATTTCAGATATCTCCTTTAGAACAAAAGATATGGCAAAATATAAAATTCCAATAAGGTAGTTTCTTACGGGTTGGTATGGTAATTTCACATCAAAAAATTTATATTTTAACAATATACAGCGATTTCCAAGGGTTCACCATATATCCTAAAGCTGATTGAATGTTTACAAAGCCATTTTGTCTACCAGAAATAAATCATGGAATTTCAAAGCAAAAAACTTGTCACTAAATAATCCCCATTTCAGCTAATTACTTTTTATCTAATGAATTTAGACGAAAAAGAAAAGCTTTAGGATACACCTCAGTTGTTACTGAAAACAATGATACCAAGCTTACTGAAATCTGCCCAGGCAAACATTATGAAAACTTTCGTCAAGCAATGGCTCTGGACAAAAAAGACAAAGCTGAGGAAATCACACTTGAAGTTTTACCGATTGGCACTTTTATATATCAAGACTAGAGAAAAAAGAAAAGCTTTAGGGTGCAGTTCAGTTGTTGCTGAAAACAACATTAAGTTTATTGCAATCGGCTTATGCAAACATAATCAAAACCTCCGTAGAAAAATGCCCCCCCCCCCCCCCCCAACCTGACAAAAAACAAAACAAAACAACAACATGAAACCACGAAATCAGTTCAATAGTCTCCGATGTGCGCACACGGGCATAGCAGTCCTGGGCCTGGCAGGCTTGTGTCTCTTGGCCATCCTCTTCTTGACCTTTTTCACTCTCAGGGTGAGCCTTGTTGGCCTTGCGAAGCCTCCGCCTGTCCTTCTCAAGACTCCTGCGAATCAGGCAGCTACCTGTGCTGTAGCCAAGCTGTGCTGCTACAGCATTGCTCGTCTTTGCCATTCCCTGGTTGAAGCGTGACATGGCTTCAGCGACAGCCCTCTCCACTGACAGCAGAGAGTCATATCTGTTCTTAGAGTTCTGGCCCCAGATCACGGAGTGAAGGCACTCTATGGCATTCTGCGTTATGCCATCACTGCAGCACTTCAGGAGTGCCTGGTCACCCAGCCTCTCAAAGACTGGCTCCAACACAGTGTGAAAGAAGCCTCGCAGTGGGTTCCTGTGTGGTGGTGACTCCTCGTTGTTGGCCAGTGCTTGGTTGCAGGAGCACCAGGAACTGTCCCCCTCGGGACAGTGGCTGTGGTCCGGGGCTTCATTTGTCGAGGTCATGTGCAACAAAGTTGCTTGCACTGCCTTTTCCATCCCTGGCAAATCATGCTTGTAGCTTATCAAGGCGTACCCACAGTAGTTTGCTATTTTTTTTATCTTGTCCTGGGTCAGCTTTCTCTTTCCTCCGAGCGACTCTCCCTGTGCCTTCTTCTTCACCAGGGTACGAAAAGCTCCTCCCATCCGCTTGTGTACGTGGTTCAGGCAGTCTTTTTTCTCAATGTCGAGACATCCATAGACGGTGTCTTGTGTCAGAGCATGGAAGGTGCAGCTGTCACCATCGGAAAGGATGGTGTAGCACAGTCTATTCCTTGCCAGGGACCGCCTGAACAGAATGAGGGCTGCCTCGGCTTCCATTCATCCTGCGTTGCAGTCAATGTTCTTCATACACTTGTGGGTAATCACCCAGTCCCCATAGCTGTCGTCATCTGAGTCAGGTGCACCCTGGCAGCCACGGCAGTACCTTGAGAGGACAACGTGGTCCAGCACCAGGCCAGTGTAAAGCTCGAGGATGCACCCCACTGTGATGCTGGAGTTGTGTCCGCGGATCTTCCATGGCCGTCAAAAATTATATCCACGTTTCCGGCAGGGTTGAGGAAGCTCTCGTAGACGTCCTTCACCACCTCGACACTCGCTGCTTCTGTGGCTGTTGCTGCTGCCTGGCAAGCTTGCACCATGGTGTCCATGTGTCCCCTGAACGTCTTATGATGAAGGCCTCGGTGGGAGAGGTTCAAGGTTGCACAGAAGTCTCCAAGAGCAGTCGCCTCCTTTCCTATGCTCTGTATTCCCTTCATCGCCCTCAAGCTGATCTCGAAGGGCGTGATCTTGGCTTCCCCGGCGACTCATGGAGAAAAAAATTGACTCTCGGAGAAATCGCAGCTCGAACACGTGAGGACCAACTTCACTGCCAGGCCGTACTGCCTCTCTTTGCACTTCAAAAGTCCTACGATAGGCATTCCGCACTTGCCGCACGCCGTAGACGCGAAGAGTTCTTGTAGCACTTTCATGTCCACGATGACGTACTCCATGCCGCAGTCGGTGTCGTCGCTCTCCATGCAAACATTGAGGAGCTCAAACTTCCGTGAAGTCGCCGACTGATCTACCAATGAAGCCTTTCTGTCGTCCGCACGTTGTTCGCGCTCCATGCACTCCTCTTCCGTGTAGAACACAGTGTCGATTCAATCTCTAGACGAACTTGGTCCAGCCACGTCCACGAGCAGAAAAGTGGCTTGAGGCATCGGCGAAGTTGTCGAACACAAACTTGATCCAGTCGCATCCACCAGCGGTAGAGCGGCTTGCGGCATCGGCGAAGTCGACGGGGTCGTTTTCCTCGATGCGGAGGTCTTCCTGTTCTAGGCACGTCTCATTTTTGTGTTTAGTCTCTGCGTGTTGGCCTTCAAATGGGCGTCCCCAGCCACCAGAACTCAAAGCGAACTCGAAGCGTGCAGAATGAAACAAAGACAGACGAAGCAGGAGGGCAAATATATACGAAAAGGGAAAGGTAAACAAAGTGGAGGTATCAAAATATTTACATGAACGATGAAAAAAAAAACAGGGAACATATAAAAACACTAGGAAGCACAAGAAACACTGAAAATATTGATACAGAAAGTGGAGGAATGCGAATGCAGCACGTGGTCTCGAACGGCGAAGCAAGCAAAAGCAGACGACGCGGGAGCCCACGGAGCGACCGGGACTACGTACTGGGGAAGCAAGGAGAGGAGGCGCACGTTTCGGCCAATGAGAAAGCTGCACCTCGGAGAAGCGCGCGCTTTGCCGAATCAGCGTCTTTCCTAGTGCTGGTGACGGCCTTTTGTACAGCATCGATGACGTCGCGGCCTTGAGGGGTACACTGCTTTGGAACGCGGGAAAAATAAGCGCGGGAAACCAGCTTTCGAACAAGACCAAAATGGTGAATTCCACTGGGCGTTTTGGAGCGCGCCGGGATCAGTTGACCAGATCCGGAATGGAGCACACGATCCGAACGGGGTCACGCCGCCTACGGATCCCAGTGGAACGTGACCAAGATGGCTCCTATCAGTTGAGCCGGTGCGGCGCTCCGACAACTTGAAGTTTGTTCAAATTTTTAGAGTTTAGGCTTCAAGTCAGGTCTGTCAATGCTTACAAATTGTCAATATTTTCATATTTAGAGATCGAATTGAGCATTTATATTTTGTGAGGACATATTCTGGACTAGGTAGACCTCAAAATCATGAACTTTGAAAAATGGTAATTTTTACGATTTTTTTTATATTTTAAGACCTGCGTCCCCCCTTAACATAGATATAATACAATAGCCCATGTAAGTACACGAATACACAACACTGAACTCAATAACATGCATAGATATATACAATTTAGTCAAAGAGAGCACCAAAAACAAATGCTGCCCCTCTACTCATCCTGTGCAGCAGGGATAAACGCTCAAGCACTCAGCAAGCCGTTTATATTGTGCACTGCTCCTGTCGCCGTGGGACATATGCAGGCCACAATTTCGCTACAGATAGCTTCCCGGAGACAGCCGGCGCACGTTTCAGCATATCCTCGTCCTCAGGCAAAAACCATATTCTCGTGCTCAGACAAAACCCCACTTAGCCAGTATTGATATACACATAGCAGAGGCAAACCTCTTCCAGCAACTTGGCAGGCTCTCCTTCCCGAGATGCGACAGTGGTAGCCGGATCCACCCCAGGCACGGCTTCGAGCCGAGGACCGTCCGCGTCTGCCCCGACATCGTCGACTCCCGCACCGAGGTTGTCGGCCTCGGGAGCTTGTTGCGTAGCCTCGAGGTAAGCCTGCAGGTTGCTCCTCAGTGTGGCAACCCTGGGTGCCCTGATGGGAAGCTGTGCCGCCTGCGCGGGAGTGAGCACTGCCAGGTCTCGCACGGTCCGGATGTTGAGGCCCGAGAGCCTGCGCTGAAGGCTGCGCTGCCTGCAGACAGGGGGCACAGACCCAAATTAGGCCCATCGGACATTGTCCGGAAGGAGTTTGGCAAACAGAGTTGTTTTTTCTTTCTGTTTGCAACAAGTAGTGATGTAGTTATTACATACAGTAGACTCAGAATAATTCAAACTCAAATATTTGGTACTTTCGGTTAATTCAAACAAACTTCAAAATCTTGGTTGTCCCGCTTCAGTTTTCAGTGTATTTATAAGCTGCTTCATTCAAACGGTGTTTTTGTGTAATTCCTACGTCTTGCCCTCACGACCCTGGTGAGTGCGCTTCTTTCAGAGCACCGGTGTACTCCAGCGAAGCATCACCCGCAACACCCGCTTCCACGGGTGTTGCTTCTCCGAGGTGCACCGGTGCTTGGCAAGAACCGCACTTTATGGGGCAAAAGCAAAGGGGACACGAGCAATTAATACAGGCACTGCGCGGCAGCTCCCATGACAGCTTGCATACCGAGCAGCATATTGGGAGAGTTTGGCCAGTTTATAATCTTGCTGCCATAACGCCCCCCTCCCGAGTGAGCCAATCAGCCCGAGGCACAGAGTGAGAGGCGTGAGCGTATGCGTGCGAACTCCCGGCTGAGTGGGGAGGGCCGCCATGCTCATTTATTAGCCCAGTAAATGCATGGGATCAGCATAAAAATTTCGGTTATTTCCTTTTATATTGCTGGCTCTGGCAAGAAAATGATATATACTGTTCTTCCTCCGTGGGTTTATTTATTTCTTTAATTACGCTCAAGGTACAAAATATATTATAGAGGAGGGTGAACTATTAAAAAAAAAACACATAAAATGGCAATTAAATTAACTAAGGATGCTGTTGGTAAGAGTTTGTTTAAAAATCACGATCCCTTCCACTCTGTGAAAGTGGATGGCCAGTGAAGCCTTTTTGCACATGACACAGACTCGCCCCGAGAAGCTGGAGGAAAGTAGACACGCGCGACGGGACCCCCACCCCGGGAGAGCGAAAGGAAAGGCAACTAGACAGGCAAGCGGCTTGGAACGACAACAAAGAGGGGGCGGTGTGAGCATAGACATGACTGACGCAGTTTGCGCAGCAGCAAATCATTGAAAAACCTGTATTATCTACCAGAGTCTACTGATCTTGAAAATAGTGCCTGGTGATAACTAATCTACTGAGTAGACCAATTGTTAAATTACCCGAGCATCAAGGAGAATGCAGGAAATGGTGTTCCATACGCCGCACGTGCCGGCATCTGCGGCAGTACGTCTTCTAAAGCAAAAGCCTAAAACAAATGGCATCTTGCACGCGCATTCGTCAATGCTATATTTTGGCTATTTAGGTACTTTGAACCTTTATACGGGGAAGGCGTGCTCGTGCGGCGGTGCGAGCGTAGAGCTTTTGGTGACGCGCATGAAAAATCCATAGAACCCTTGCCATAAGCAGCTTCATTGTAAAAGTGATATACCATAATACCTTCATCGCCCCCCTTGCCGCCTGAAATTCATAAAAACAAGTGGGTGGGCCATGTCTCCGTGGGTAAGCACCAAAAACTTGGAAAAAGCTAAATAAACGCCCTCTTTTCTGTATGTATATAATGTGACTGCACAGGAAATACTTTGAACTCAAAACTCAAATTAGTTCCATTGTTTTAGGCAAGAAATGCTCACGAAAGAATGTTCTACTATCGCAAAGTCCGTTGCTCGCATACGCGCGATGACCACCGCCAATCGGCATATAGCGCGAATGTTGGTTTCGCAAAGCACGTTTTTAACACTGCTATGCTTTCTTTGCTAAAAAAGAAAAAAAGAAAGTCAACACAAAAATAGAAAAATCAACCAGGCACAACGAGCGAGCGAGCGGACGAAAGAAGCAACGAAGAGTGAGGCAGGAGAAGCGGAAAAGCCGGCGATCACAATGGCAAATACTTTGGCGTCGAGACAAATCAGGCGCCTTGTCAATTGCAAGGAGGCTCTTGCGCCACTTTCTTGTCTGGTGCATACATGCGTGCGTCCGTTCACGGTATAATATAAACGCAGGTTGAGGCGGTGTTGCTGCGTGGCGTGGATGGCACCATGAACACGGAGCTTGAAATGGGACGCTCTACAAACGTCGGTGTGCGGCATTCAAGCAAATCTTTATTTGCCCGTTAGCTTTGTCTTAAACACTGCACAACCTTATCAACTGCAGTCGTGGCGTTTCGGGAGAAGGAGTAGGTTCGCGATGACCTTATTTCGGTGGAGACGGACTTTGATTTTAGACTTCGCAGTTACACCCCAGGATATGGGGCGTTCGCTGACCTTGCGATCCCTGAATGAATTACTGCTTATGTTATCTTCAGAGTTTGTTTCTTTCTATCCGATCAAACTTTTTTGTAAGCAAAACAACGTTTCATTTTGTTATCTCTGTCGTTTTCCTCACATGCATGTACTACGACTTCGGGGTCACGTAAATCGGGGAGGAATTGCGTAAACAAAGAGAAGTGCCTTTCCCCCCTTCGTTTTACTTTATCACGGACATCCTTTAACTGTAAAGTTTGCGGACGCGCCATTGGGGTGGGATGAATGTTCGCAGATCGCGAAGTCCGCGAGGGGTATTGGGGGTGGGCGATCCCTCAGTGTTTTCTTGGAAATTAATATTCGCCCAAAAGGTGGGCGATGACTCGGGATATTACGGTATATCGGTAATTGATGCTATTGAAGCGGGAAGGCGATTCCAGTCTTTTGATATGCGGGGTAGAAATGAGACGCTGAAAGTGTTAGCATTATAGTTCGGTATGCCAACTTTATGGATAAGGTCGAGGCAAGCCGAGTGACAAAATGGTTCAAGTATATGTTTCTGGCGTAGCAATGGGTTGTGATGGTGAAACTCGTAAAATAAACAGAGACGAGCGTGCTTATGGCAGGAGGCTAATGAATAAAGTTTTCTCAACATTTCACCGCAAAATTTTATTTGGGCGAAAAAGAAGTTTGTTTGTAGCAGACGACGCATAGCCTCAAGAGTACTCTGCACCAGAGGCGTGTTGCGTCAGAATGGCGGTCGTTTTCTCTTTGGCCGATAAATGTTTGCGAGTCGCAAGCAGCAAGTTGCCGGCGATCGTTGCCACCTTGCTCGGTCTTCCAAAACATTTTTACAGCGGAGCTGTTAAGGGCTAATTTCCCCAGGATTCTGTCACCCGCAAAGAAATGTCGACATAAAACTCTGGTTGCCGCCGTCCCTCATAGATGGCGGTAGCTGTCCAGAGTGTTGTGTTGCCGGTTGTCCGCTTGCCGCCGTCGCTCATAGATGGCGCAACCTTTCGAGCCTTTTCACTCTGGCTTGCCAACTTCCGGCTGGCCATTACTTCATTCTTACCATAGTACAGCTTTACTTGTCTTCCTTCTTCACCAAACGGGAAAGGCTAAAAGTTTTGGCTTGCACCTTCCATGGGAGTGCAATGCCGTCCTGTGTTGCCTGAAATCATAGCCGCGAGGATGCCACCAACGTCGTGTTGACGACGCCACCAAAGCGGCCGCAATCGCGGTCCTGCGAGCAACCATTTTTTTAACTGTGCTCATTTTGGCTTTAGCCAACGTCTCATCACGAATCCTTCTCGGAGGAGCGCAAAAACACATTGCCTACGCACGCAATTTCCGAGAAATAACATACGCTAAAATATCGCATGCAAAACACAAACCGCAGTTAGCATTCGGCGCATGCAGTGGCGATGAAGCTATTCTATCTGTATGCAAAGCTTTACATACGCTATTCTAAAACTGCCCAATGTTTTAAGGTGAAAGGATTATACCATATAATCGCGTGTAAGGACCACACCCCCGTATTTAGGACAACATATTGCAAAAAAAAATTAGAGAAATTATTCGTGTATGCGCCGCACCTCCTTGTTTTTGAGGCGCACCGACTGTAACGCATGAAAGTTTCTTTGAATATATATCGCTAGGTGGCGCTAGCCACCGCCTGAGCACGTAGCGGGACGTCTCCGCATCCCCGATATTTGCTCTCCACTCATCCGTATCATTGTATGGCACAATGGCTGCCGACCTCGATCGTGGTTGGTGGCACCGTCGGGATGCGTTTATGTTGCAGCCGGAAGACATTGAGAAAAGATAAAGGATATGTCAGCTTCCGTGGCAAGCGCGAGAAATGGGGATTCAGCGGGCTCGGCTTGTGCATGCACTCAGGTTTTTGAACGCCACTGTACGCTCTGGGTAGGTTTTCTTTTGTTCTTCGATTCGTGTCAAAGCGCCGTGATTTGTCTGCCTTTTCGCTTATTCAGAGCTATGGGCAAGTACCACTTCAACAGTCATACGGGATTCAAGTCGAAAGTTGCCGCGCATGCTATCAAGTACAAAAAAAAAAAAAATGTGTATTGCGCAGTATGTAAACTAATTAAATCCGACTGACGATTCAGTCCGGATTCCGGAGTGAAGGCGTTTTCGACCAGTGCAGCTGAGCGCGCTCATGTACGTTCATTTCAAAATGTGGATAGATTTTTTGTTTTTTTATCCGTGTATGGGCTGCACCTTGAAAATTTGCCCTCAAATCGGGAAAAAATAGTGCGGCCCTTACACAAGTTTATACGCACGTCCCATTATACAAAAAGGCAGCGTCGGCGTTGTGCTCAAAAGATGGCCATAAAGTTGTCATCAAGCATGCGCCACTCAAGGTCAAAGTTGATGTGCCTCAGAAATAAAACAATGGAAAGTGCAGCAATGCAGATGCTACATCACGTAAGCCATGGAGACGGGGGAGGGGGCTGCATTTGTGCAGTGGGCGCACAGGCACGGCGCCGGCCCCAGAACACTGTTTTGACAAAGGCACGGTAGAACTATTTCATAGTAAAAACTGATTTGGGGAAGGTATGAATAGGGTAACATAAAGATAAAGTATTCTCTTCCAGTATTAGTATGGCAGATACAAATACAATGACCATTTAGCCTGAAAAAAAAAAAGGACTTTAAATTGGTGGACACTGTGGCATTTCAGAAAATGTGAAGGGTGCATGTGGACAGCTTTGATCGACGCTCAAGGTGCGCGAGCACCCGTTGCTTTGACTGCATAGCCACAGAAAATTGTCCCCGAGTATAGTAAATATCCTCATTTCATTGTGCGATAAGGGAAAGTAACACATTGGTATAGAATTTTTTCCAACTCTAGCAGCCAATGTTTGCACCCAAATCAGATGAAAGTTCCAGGGAGGCTTTTACAAACTCCTCCAACTTGCCCGATACACTCAGAAAGTCTCAAATATTCCCTTTCGGGTCTCTCGGCTTCGCTTCAGCACTCACCAGACGCTGGACGTCATGAATGGGATGATCTTCTCCAGGGGATCTTCGCAGGCATCCAGCTCGGGACAGAGGGGCTCCTGGCTGTCCACTAGGACTTCCTCTGCCAGGTCCTTTTTCTGCATGAAGGTATTCCGTGTGCCTTAAAACCTCTTAAAAATCACTTACGACAAAGGAACACTTGGAACACTCAATTTTAATGCTATAGCATTACTCAGCTACTATTCAAGCTTTTCAGCTACATTGGTATTTCCTGGCTTCCTAATGCACAGTACGTATGCGGAGTAGAACATGTCAGCTTACTGTACTTGCACCCCACTGCGCCGCGCATATGCGGATCAACAGTATGCATATTCCTTCACATTCGCACCCTCCTTGAACGACCTGACGATTTTGACATCGTCAGGTCCTCAGATCATCCTAGAGGTCGTCTCAGAGGTTCTAGATGTCGTCTTTGACGTCGTCCTCTAAGACGTCGACATCTAAAGACCTGATGTCCTTAGAGGACGCCACATCACGTGACCGCAATGCTACAGGTACAGCTGGCTGAACTCATAACAAGCCGAGGTGTTCTTGATATTGCGATAGTTACACTATTGTCGGCGGTGGAATGTTTTAACTTGATTATAAGTCGATGCCCCCAGTTCAGATTTTTAAAAATTAGAAAATGAGTCGACCTACATTTGTGTAAATACGGCAAATCTTACCTTGAGGCCGTACAGGGACGGGCGGGCAAGCCAGTAATCCCGCGGCGTTATCTCGCAAACGTGGACAATGGGGTCAGCAAAGGACACGCTTCGAGACGTCTGCAAATGCAAAGAGAAGCCAACAAATGAGTAACCCTCAAGATTTTTGGACGAACGAATAAATTATTTATGTCACTGGTAACTAGGAGATTGGATGACGATAAAATCAGTTGCGAGATTTAAACGCCTTCTATCATCGCTTAAGGTTTGAGACTGGCGTTTTCCAGAGAAACGACGAATGCCTTCTGCACGTTTTCCAGTGGCAGGGCTGCGACCTTAAAAATTTACATAAATCAATGCTTCTTGTAAATGTAAAGCATGGGATATCAAACTGGGTTTCTGGAAGCTAGTGGTTTAAAATGAACTGTTGGGCCAGTTGGATAAACACCGTGAAAACAATTAGTGGAAAGGACAAAATTAGTGGAAAGGACAAGGACAGGTCCTATTTTCTATCTTCATCTTGTCCTTTGCACTAATTGCTATCACAAAACCCAGTGTTTCCCCGGTCCCTTAGAAGTAACTCCAGGTTCAAAACCCTACCCAGGTAGCACAGAGTTCTGGGCCAAAATCTGGCTTTTGTCTGGGAGTTTAGGGCATTGAAAAGCCCAAAGAAGCCAAAGTAGAGCCAAACCTGACCTCCCTTGGCAACAGTCTGGGTATTTTGGTCTTAATTCACCAAACAAGTGCCAAACTTAGGCTTCACTGCCTGGTAGTTCGGATGTCATCTGGCATCTTTGGGCCTAAATCGCCTAACAAATCCTAGAATTAGGCTTACTGCCAGGTAGTTCGGCTGATATTTGTTATTTTTGGTCCAAAATCGCCAAACAAGTGCCAGGACTAGGCTTACTGCCTTGGAGTTTGGCTGATGAGGTATTTGATGTACGCGGGTGGTCTTCATCTTAATTAAATAGAAATCAAGTTTTATTTAGCTGGCCACTTTTTCTTTTTTTATTTTGAGTGTCTCTTGATTGTTCCAGTACAAAGGTGGGCTGAATGTTTTGCCGCGGCTGGACCAGGCTTTGCACACGCAAATGGTACTGGATGTTGTACTTCCATGTAGGTACACACGCCTATATCGGGATGCGCCGTGATACTGGTTGGTCATTAAGGCGTGTTCACACCGGCGATGCGATCTAGTCGCGCGATAACTTCCATTGCAAAACAACCATCGCGGGCAAAAAGCGCCGCGATTTGAGCAGTCGCTTGCTTACCCGTCCTTTTGCGATGCAATCTAGTCGCGGAGAGGCTGAGCCAATCAACGGCGTTCGGAGCAAGAGTTTTCGAGAAGCGACTCGCCAACGAAGGCGTTGGACTCGCTCATCGCGCACGCCAGTGTGACAATCTACTTTTTTTTTATGATGCGATTTAGTCGCATCGCGTGACTGCTTACATCGCCGGTGTGAATGCACCTTTACAGAAAGTGCTGCCATCGAGCTAGCTTTCTTTAGAGTGATGTGTGCACGTCTCCTCAACAGATATCATTATTAGGCGGCGCATTGCAAAAGCGAGCGTGGCTCTGTGCGTGTCTTGCATTGTGATTGAGCACCGTCAAATGCTACCGATAACAAAAAGCGGAAACGACCGGGGCTCTGTGGCACCGCTTGTTGTTTTGAAACTTTTGAGAGTAACAACCCAGGCACACCTTTCTCTTGCAATCTTTCAGTTCCCCTTTCCCCCCACCCCTAGTCAAAGGTGACATTCCAAGCCTCAGCTAACCATGCAGTACAGCTAAAGCTACTGGGGAGAGAGTGTGTGCCAGCCAGTTCAAGAGGAGGGAGACGGGGAACGAGAGAGAAGGACTGGGATTCCCCTGTCCTTGATCTCCCTCCTCTTGCAGCACCTAGCTGTGTTTGGAGATTTATGTTTGTCCTTTGTCCCTCTTGTTCCCCTTCTCCAGGGATTACTTTCGCCTCTTGAACAGGTCGGGATACACTCTCTCCCCTGTAGCTTTGACTGTACAGCAGTTTCTTTTTTTTTTTAATAAATTGTTTTTGCTTTTTTTTACAATACAGTGCGTCGAAAATGCAGAGTGAGCTTAGCTGCGTTGTTGATGGCCCTTCGACCTCACCTTTTGCAAATTCTCCCCACCTTCTTTTGTGTCTTTATGTGGCTGTCAGCGAGCGCGACAGCTGCTTTAAGCAAATCAGAAGGGTGGAGCGAAACGCATGACCCCTCTATGTAGGTCACGTAGGACAAAAAGATTCGGACAAAAATTTGTCATGTGACTCTCTCTGTCACGCTGGCGGGATCTCTGGGGATGCTGTTTTCGCCGTTTGCCAAGTTATAGAAATAGGCGGGCCCAAAGGGCCAGTCTCCGAAATGCGCTCTTTAGTGTTATGTTGCTTTCGTGCGTTGCAGACGTGGCCGTGTTTTTGCGTCGTAAACGGCCAGAATACATCTATGCCAATTTTTCGGTAACAGCCATTTTTTTTTCACCAGAGTTTGTGGGATTCTTGTGATGTGTTTGTTGGACAAGCTTCGACAAAAACTGCTCTTCGCCGACGATGAGACGTCAGTTGAACGTGCGCAACCTTCTTTCTCGAGTGTGTTTGTGGGGTGCCCGAGTTGGATTATGCATCTATCAAGGATTAAATGATAGCGCTCTTTTATTAGTAAGTACAGTGCAAGCATGCTTCTGATAGTAGTCCTGCTTTCCTCTCAATCTCCGCGGTTTTTTTGTGTGATGAGTTTTGCTTGGCATGAGCACAGAGTTAATTCTATTTTATAATTTAATTTCTGTTTTACAGAGAAGTATGACATTTGTAAATATGTCGAGAATATGCTGTGTGTAATGATAGTGGTTTAATAAACTTCTGGGAGCGATTGAAAAAAATTTTCTTTGTTTGTGTATGCAATTGATATGCAACAAATGATGAGCAACGTCCTATACAACACATACTTGCACGACGTTCGGACAATACGGAGCAGACGCATCGTAGAGTATTCGCATAATATTGCGCGAACGCTAAGCCGGGGCAAAACGACTGTACGGCAATACCTGCCTAATATCAAACAGTGGTGCAAAATTGGACATTTAAGCAATATTGGAACCGACTTTCAGCAGGTACTGGCACGATACTGCAAAGTATTGCCGTTCTGCTTCGGAACGGAGGTGGTGACATCTGACCATCGTGTTTCCAACGCATATTTAATTTTCCTCTGGGGCGCGTGAAAGAGCACTTCTGTGACATATTAGAGATATCCCAAACTTCGGCAGGGCTTTTGGCTTTTTTTTGACACTTTTGGCACTTCAGTGGACAGCCAGAGAAGAGCTAAACTTCGGTATGCCCCGAATCGCCAAATTAAGATTTACTGCAGCAGTTATGGCTCAAGTCTGGCAAAACTGTGGCGGACCAGAGAAGCGCCAAACTTTGCGTTGCTTTGGCAGTTATGGTTCATGTCTGGCACTTACTTTGGCAGAACTGTGGCGGACCAGAGAAGCGCCAAACTTTGCGTTGCTTTGGCAGTTATGGTTCATGTCTGGCACTTACTTTGGCAGAACTGTGGCGGACCAGAGAAAGGCCAAACTTGGCATATCCGAAACACCCAAATTAGGCGTTGCTTTGGCAGTTATGGCTGAAGTCTGGCACTTACTGTATTTACTTGCAGAATGAACACACTTTTTTTTCTGAAAAATCGATGCAAAGTTGGGGGGGGGGGGGAGCGAAGTAAAATTTTTGCGTTTGTATTTACTCGCATACGCATAATGAACGGACCTTTTATCCTGAAAAATCGACACAACTTCTTGTTTCTCTGTGCGCGGAGCGTGACCCGGTAACAAAACTGGGCTGTGCAAAAAAAAAAGAAAAAAGAAAAAAAAAAAGCTTCTTTTTTTTTTTTTTTTAGTTCCTTGGGTTAATTAACAAAATGTAAGGGCGCAAACGAGCTGGTGTACATTGCACATGGTTGAAAAACCCCGAGACTGCGGGTAAACGACACAACACTAAGAAGTCTTTTTAGTGTTGTGTTGTTTACCCCCAGTCTCGGGGTTTTTTCAACCATGTTCCTTGGGCTGTTCTTTTTTTTTTTTTTTTTTGCCTCCTTTCGCAAGCTGTTTTGTTTGCTTAGGCCAGGGCTTCTCCGCTTATCTTTCTTATCTTTGTGGGTACACGGTGCCCACAAAGATAAGAAAGATAAGCGGCAGGAATACATAGGACTTTTCCTCTCGACCATTATAGGGTGATGTCTATGCCCCACCGTTCCTGTGTCTATGCCCCACCGTTCCGAAGCGGCCGGAATACATAGGACATTTTCCTCTCGATTATTATACGGTGATGTCTCATTAATATGGACACCTCTGTGCCCACCATAAAGGCGTTCATAATGAGAGTTGCCCATAATAATGAGACAAAAAGGAATGCATTTACCCAGTTTTTCCCCGAAATTGTTTTCTATACAGTGCAATCCACTTATAACAATACCACATACAACAATGTACTGCTTATAACGATCAGTTTCTAAAGTTTCTAGACTGGAAATGATGTTTCTAGTCCAGATACAACGATAATCGGTTAATGTCGAGACCGGTTATAACAAAATAGCGGCTACAGTGAAGCGATCACGATTTCTTATTCCCTTTTGCACTTCGTTTACCAAAGTCGATTATAACGAAATAGCGGACATAGCAAAGTAATTTCCTATTCCCCTTTGACTTTGTTATAACCGGTCTCGACAGTTTTAACGAATAAAATTTCGGGTTTTCTTATTACTGGTATAAGTGGATTGTACTGTATAGTGGCCGGAGTATCCATTTACTCAAATCTAACTCGAGTTTTCTTTAATAATTTTTGTTGCCTGATGTTGCCCCTCGTGTTATAATCGAGTGATCGCAAAATTGGCCTCATTGATGCCGACACTTTGAAATAATTACTATTTTCGGAGTTGAGCGGTTTCTCAATTTTATGCCGGCAGCACATACCTAAACGGCTGCTCACAATAAAATCCATCAAATCCAGATCTAAATCCATTGAATTGTTGTAAAACCTGTCATTCTTTCTTCTGGTCGTTCCGGCGGACCTGTTCGGCCTCGTGTCTGCCTTTCGCGCTTTTGCGACGTTCAACCTTTCGCGCTTCTGCGGTGTCGGACATTTTTGCACCAAACCAATAGCAGCACGACGTACGCAGTACAATGCCATTCAAGAACGAGGCAATATTGACAGCCGAGAAGCTAGAATACACCGCCGTTGCTCAGCGGTTGGACGCGAAAAAATCCACAATTTGCGAATAGGGGCGCCAGCAGGATGTGTTTTCCAAATGTGACAACAGCGGAAAGTCTTCCGTGGACCCTGTCGTGGCTTTCGCTGGGATTTGGAAAAGAAATTCTTGGAGTTCGTCACTGACGAGGATCGGGCCTCGACGCCTTCGAGAAGAATTAAGCGACTGCGTGCATTGAAATTCGCCAAATGGGCGTCTCCGCGTGGTACAGCCTTCCGCGTGGTACAGCCTCTTGCATGGCATAATTGTTTGTGCATTTAAGAAGTGTTTGATATTGAATGACCTCAACAAAGACAGTGGCAAGAACTCCATCTCCGACAGCGACGACGACGACAAGCGACGGGAAAAATCATTCTCCCAAAACTAACCAGTGTTGGCTCTTCAAAATAAAGGTACTCTTTTATTCCTCCGTCACGAGGCATTACAACTATAGTATTTATTTCTTTTCACGGGGCATAACGAAAAGTCGTCCCTCGTGCTACAACCGTGGTCGCGCTAGAATTGAGTATATGCAATAACTCCCTGGAAACATGCAAACAATCACTCTGCTCGTTGTCTGTCTCATGCTCACCCGCTGCGGGGAATGCTCGGGGGAGTCGACTCCGCACGATTTCCGCTTCAGGATCCCGTTGAGGCCCGGGCTGGCGGGGTCTGTCCCGTTGCTTGTGCCCGCCGGCCTCATGTCCGCCGCCGCCTTCCGCTTGAGCACGGCACTGGGCGACGTGACGAGGGAGCGCATGGCAGCGTCTAGCATCTGCCTGCTGCGGGACGAGTGCGCCAACGACGGCGACATGGCCCACGGGGGCCTGCCACTGCCCAAACGGCCGGGAGGAGAGCCCGGTTCCGCCGGCGCCGCCTGGCCGGTCGAGCAACCCTGCTGCTGCCGGGACGAGCTTTCTTCCTGCGCCGCCTGAAGGGACTGCCGCATCTGCGATTAGTTTAGAGAGGATTGGAGTCTGGCAACCCCTGGGTTCCTAGGTACAGATTTGGAGAAACTGATGTCGCGGAGCATCGAACCTGGCAAATGATGATGCAGAGATACAGTAAAACCTCGTTATAAAGAAGTTGAAGGAGCGGTCATAATTACTTTGTTATAACCATTAGTTTGTTATAGCCAATGTCCATTTCTTCCAACTATTCAAGCAAGGGGAATTATGATTGCTTTGTTATATCCATTTGTTTGTTATATCCCATTTTGTTATAACGAGGTTTTACTGTAATGTCCTCATACGAAAAGTTACCTGTGCCACGAAATGCTGCGCCGACACTGAGCACGATGTTTCACAAACCCGGAAAGAAGTCCAACCAGACTGCATACTCGCAAATATACACTTCCTGGACCACATTTCTTCAGGAATTGCAATGGTTGGCTACACTGTTGTTCTGTGTGAAAGAAGTGCTGCCTCCCTCATGAGCAGCGCACAAGCGTGGTAGGCAGCCTCTGTTAGGGGGAGCGCACATATGATGTATGCACGCAGTAGTGTAACAAGGGGGGGGGGGGGGGGTACTGGGCGGGCTGTTGCCCCGGGTGCTGCTGACCCTAGTGACGCCACTGCATGCATGTAACATGGGCCACACCTCTCAAATTGCATGGGCAATTGCCACAGCCGTTTCGCGCCAATCCTGAGAGATGGCGCAGCGGCCGCGGCGCAGAAGTGGGACGAGAGTAAAGAAGACGGGAGTCGTGAGAGAACGGCAAGGCTTAGCTACACTGGCGATACCGCTGCGCGCGAGTACGCGAGAAGAAAGTGTTTAAGCAAGAATACTTGCGTGCGAGTCGTGACCGAGACAACCAGCAAAGACGTACGTCACACCTCAGTGAAAAAATGTGACTAGTACTCGTGGTAGGCAACCTCTAATAGTGAATAAACGTGACTACTAAGTGAATGACTTTTGCAGGTCCCTACAGGTCTCTTGTACGTGTTACTAAGTGGTCTACGATACCCGTCTTGAAGGGAAGTCACCCAAATCCTCCAGACTGTCATCGTCTTAAAGCAAACTGCTTCACCACTTTAAGCCGAGCTTAACCATAGTTGATTTTAATGCTCCAATGAGCCAGACACCCCCCTCTCTTTCTCTATTGTGAATAACTGCAGACAAGTATGTAAACCAAGAAGTTTGTCGAGAAAAGAAAAAAAAGAAGAGAATTCTGGAAGTGACTCAACCGTGAGAATGTGCTGATTCGGACCGTCTCACCTGCTTCGCACGGAGGCGACTCGCAATCGGCGATGCCTGGCAGGGAAGCTTGCGCTTTCTGGCACCTTTCACCTTGTCGGTTGTGTCCGAGGCTTGTGCCATGGCCGCGTCAGCCTCTTCGGACTCATCTGCGGCTTCCGACTGGCTGAGGGGTTCCAGTACCAGGTCGGAGTACTGAATGGACCCCTGTGCAATGCCGCCATTGTCTGCCCCCAAAGGATCTTCGGGAAGGTCCGGTGACAACCGCTCGGGTACGGAGGCCTCGACGGCTTGGCAGGGCTTGCTTTCCCCGGTGCTGGCTATGGATTCTCTATCCGCCCGACAAGGTTTGCACTCGTCTACCGTAGAGGCTGCTTGTTCTGCGGATTCTGGGCGTTGCTTCTGCTGCGGAGTCAAGGTAGGGAATATCTGCAAAGAATTGGTTGGCAAGAAGCTTCACTGAGCAACTTGTTAGTGATGAGCTGTGTATGCATTGTAGATGTTACCATAAAGGCGTTAGAAAAGATTCTACTGTAATGCCCAAAACAGGTTTGCTAATTCAATGTAAATAACTCTAGAGCTACACTAAATTCAATCTTGCACACTGTTTCCTATTCTAAATGCCCACTAATAAAATTATGCAAAAAAACATGTAAACATCATTCCATTTTAATTGTGACAGCAGATCGTACTCAACAAGCTCCACTTAAAATTGCAACTATTTAACGGGCAACACAAACAACTTCACTAAGCAGCACAACATGTCTATATTTTGGTTCCCTCACAAATGAAGCACCCTGATCGACTCGCAAGACACAAGAAATGCATTCTTTACCTGCTTCCAACGAAGCTGAGAGACGCTTGGCAACCTTAAGGTGGGAGGCGCCAGTTCGGCACTTGCCGCCGTCACGTCTTCAGGCCTTGTCGGATGCGCAATGGCGGCGTCGGTTTCCTCCGATCCACTTGATGCTTCCGATTGGGTGACGGACTCGAGTCGCAGGTCGGAGAACTGCTCCGACTCTTGAGCGGCTCCGGAATCCACGTACGGCCGGCAAATGGAGGCCCCGCTAATGTCAGTAACCGTTCTTGACGCATTTTTGTGGACACTGGTATCGGTTCTGCCGTTTGTAGCTCGAATGTTGTGTTCTGTGGAGTCAAACCCAACCGTTTCGTTTACCAACACCCCTGGCGCGACTGCGTCTCCGAGGAAATCCACGTCGGCCGACGCGATCGCCTGAAGCTGAAGCTCAGAGTTTGCGGTGATCTGAGAAAGGGTAGGGCCACTGTCCTCCCCTTTCGCTGGGGAGATGTGGCTCCCGTCGCGGTTTCCAGCTGAGGAACGGCTTCCAAGACCGCCAACTCCGCTTTCCTGCTCGCCATCTTCTTCCATAGCGACCACATCACTTTCGACCAGACTGATCTCGACATCACGGAGGGAGGGCTCAGAGGCCGCGTACGTCACCGTCTCCTGTGTATCGTTGTTCCCAGTTCCCTCGGGCGAGTCGGACGTCAAATCGACTTGAGCACAATCCACTTCCGTGTCTTCGACGAATGCGTTGTCTTCATCGTCGTCTTCGGGGAGAGTGCGGTCAACTTCTGTTTCTTCCACGAGGGTGAGGTCGTCTTCGTCCTCCGCGAAAGGGGCGACTCCGTCTTCGAGCTCAACCCCGAGCCACGACTGCGGGCACCGCGACACAACCTCCGCAACGGCGCCTTTGCGGAGATTCGGCGCAACTGCCAATTTACTTGCCTTTGTGGGTCTCGGCAAAAGCGGCGTCTGCACCTCTTCTTCTGCTGACGCAACGAGCAACCTGTCTCGTTTCCGTCCGCCAAGATGCAAGCTGCCCGAAGGCTGGCTCTCGCACGACAATGTGGATTCGCATGTCCGTAGCGACTCATCTTTCGAGCTGTCTTCTGAAACGATGGGTTTCGCGACTTTCCGAGGCCTCCCAGGGGATTTCCGCTTTGCGCCGATTGGTGCAGGCGGAGCTTTCTTCGCTTTTCCACGACTCTTCTTTGACGGCCTTGTCGCCAACTTGCGCTTGACGGTTCCCTTCTGGACTTCCGCTACGGTTTCTTCGCAGCCAGAGCCCAGACTTGACTGGGAGCTTGGCACTACGTCGGTGAAGTCAAGGTGCGCGGCTTCAGTGGCCTGTTCCAGGGTCGGGTCAACGGAACGAGCGAAGGAAAGGCGTCCCTTCGGCCTGTGGACTTTCGGACTAGCCACAGGCGAGACCACGTGCTTCGGTACCGGGGTGTCATATCGGCACAGCTTGATTTCGACCACCAACTCCTGAAAGTAGAAAACAATCTCAGTCACTTCCCACCTGCAAGCAGTCAAATAGACCGGAGATTTTCAAACTCTTTGATGTTGAGAAATCCCCATCTATTAACAATGGCAGAGGAGGAACCTTTTCACATCTCAGCACACATGCAATAAGGCAGTGCAAGAGCCGACAGAACTTGTAAAACATACTGCAACAATAGTGCACATATTTGGTGCCAAGTTTTACAGGTGGATCAGATCTGCTAAGATAATGCTTAAAGGGCAACAGTGCTCAAATCCAAAGATTTCGGGATAATGAGTGATTTCACATTAAAAAGTAGGGGTGTGCGAATACTCAAATATACAAATTCAAATCGAATAGCAAGTTCTTGAATAATTCGATTCGCGAAAATCCCTAGAGCTCGGTTACTCGAATATTTAATAAATTCGGCCAAAGACGTGCGGTCGGCGCGGAGCTGACAAGAGAGTCATTTTTTCTCCCGATGTTAGCGCCGTGATGTTAGACAGACCGTGCAAGAAACACCTCTTGGCCCTACCATTCCACAAAAATCTAACGCACAGGTTAGAAAAAAGAGAAGTAACAAACGTCACAAACTTTATAGCATGCAGGTTTACCCATGATCGTGGCAAAATCTAACCTTGAACCACAACCGAAACATCCCAATTGCGCCGCTTCCAGAGAGGAATTGTTGGAAGGCCAGAATTCCGCGCCATGCGTAATTCTTTTCATGAGTAAAGCCCCTCGTTTCAAATTGAAGCGCTGATGTAGAACAAACTTGCCACACTCACAGAAATCGGCAACTGCAAGATCACCAAAAAAACCCACATTAACCATGCTGATGAAACTAGCCGAGTCGTCGTCATCGTTCTTCCGGAACCGCAAGCTGCGAATTCTGATTTGGAACGAAACAAAACAGAAAAATAGTTTGCCTAGATTTGAGAGGGTTTCCAAACGTTTGATAGCCGCGTTTGAATTGCGAACTGCGAGAAGGTAACAAAAAGACAAAAGCCTCGGCCGGGCAGGCGTTGTCGCTCTTCTGTTCGCTCGCCTTGCCCTCTTTCCACGCGACAACACCACACATGCACACTTACGACCAATCTGCGCAGGAGCCGTGTCGAGCCGTCTCCGTGGTAAATTTGTCGGAAAATTTTTCCGCTAGATGTAGCGGGGAAATTTTTCACTAAATTTCCCGGGGAAGTTTTCCCACTAAATTTTGTGGGGAAGTTTTCCTGCTAAATTTTGCAGAAAATTTTCCCGCTAAACTTGGTGGAAAATTTTTCTGCTAAATTTAGCAGGAAAATTACCCCGTTAAATTTTTCGGGAACATTCCCCACAAATTTACAGGAAAATTTTCCCATTAAATTAAGATGGAAAATTCATCGCTAAATTTTGAAGGAAAATTTTTTTCACAAAATTCGGCAGGCAATGTTTTTTGCCAAACTTAGCGGGTAAATTTTTCCGCCAAATGCAATAGGAAATTTGTTCCGCAAAATTTTCCAGGGAACTTTTTCTGCAAAATTTAGCGGGGCAAATTTTCCGCAAAACTTAGTGGGGAAATTTTTTTGCCCAATTAAACATGAAAATTGTCCCACAATTTCACGGTAAATTCCCCTCTGTACCCTCCCTCCTCCTACTCAAGAGATGCGCTTTACTTCGACATTACATAGAATTGTAAACGTCCTTCATTTTTGTAGTGTAAGTTACACTGGCCGAGGTTGAGCAGTTCTGTGTGGTTCCTGGAGAGCCATGCTGCGCATGCGCGAGGAGCAGCGACGGAACGGGCAGGACTGGTTTGGCGCCTAGGCCAGTCCCCGATGCACGCGCCGCACGCATGCACCCGCTCGAGATCATGACTCGCGCTGTCCGGTTGTTCTGGGCGGCAGCTTGGTTGCTTGATGGATAACAACACGACGCGCAGCTGACCAAACCAACAACGGGCATCTGGCACGCCCCAGCGGAGGACTGAGGATTAATTTCGACCACCTGGGGATCTTTTGACGTGCAACCGAAAACTCGGTTACACAGCACCTCCTCCGCAATAAGAAGAGTGGAGAAGCTTAACTCATCGGATCCCAAAGTAGTCACATAGTGCGTATACCATGTGTGTCATTGAAGCAGCAGTAAGCATGATAATCAAGCTAATTCTAGACAACCAGGAAAGCTAAGAATAACCAGCCGAACCTAAGCTTACGCTACGTACATCCTGGCATAGCCGAGCTAAGCCACTGCATTTTTTTTTAAATCTAATTTTAAACACGAGCAGAAATCGAAATTGAAACTTCGGCTCTGTCGGACAACATTGGCTTCGAGCCGCCAAGAACATGGCTATCACATGGTACGAGATGTCAAGTCATCCTCTATGCAACGAGCGGGTTCGGGCCGGGCGCAAATGTTTTCTGCACTCAGCACCGCACTCTTTACCATGTTTTGGTGTCCACAACATTCGACCATATTTGATTGACGACATCTCCACAACTGCGCCATAAGTCTGTGCATATAGTGTCCGTAGTGTGGACGAAACTCCGAGAAACGATAATCACAAACGGCGAGACGACGATGGCATTTGTGACGCGGGAAACGGCGGTAACGGTGGGACCACGGCAAGGTGGCCGGATGACTCCCAAGAAGCGCACTGCGCAGGTGCGTTATGCCAATCACGTGGACACCACTGGGCGTGGAGGAAACACTGCTGATGTTACGCTTGCCCGGAAAAGTAAAAACAAGAAAAAGGTGGCAATGGTGATGACGTTTAGCTCAATGTTGACTTTGCCTACACCGTAGCCTTGACAGCGCTGTTGATTGCGCTCTCATTCGCCCGCTCGAGTCAGCCGATTTTGGCAACTTGGTGAGTTGCAAAGTTTGCCGGACCGTTTAAGAAACATTTAGACAAAACTATGTCGTAATATTTGAGGAGTGGTCTTCTAGACTGTGCAATATTTTTTTCAAAAACAAAAATGAGGAGTTGCCCTTTGAAATGGATAGACACTCCACAAATGATAACAAGACATCACACAAAAACAATGCCTTTGCGCTTTTGTGATTGTCCTAGTTGTTCTTACTTTGAAGACCTCCAGCTTATTAGCAGAGCAAAGAAACTTTAATAGAACTTCGAAATGAAAAAGAAAAAAGAGGGCATTGATAGCTTTCCTAGTCAGACCATCTCTCGATCTACAAAAATAAAAAAGAGTTTCTTAGCCCTTGTTGAATCATAATTCATGTGGTCTGAAGTTCTTTTTGTGTACTGCTTTTGGCCTTTTATAGCAGTAATTGTTGTTGCTGGGCTTCAGTTGTCAATAAATTTTGGCTGTCACCAAGTGCTCACGCTGTGTACTCATTTCGCTTGTCTTCGTACAATCAAGCACCATTTTGTAATCTCGCCAACGTGGCCACTTTACACGGGCGCAGAAACGGTCGAGGAAATTTGGGAGCTCGAGGAACCCACGAGGGTACTCTGGGGAACCCATGTACTCCTGGGTACCAGACCGAGAACCCGCAATATTAGCCAGGGTTTGTACAAAATTTTTGATGCAAAATTCAAGGACTTTTCAAGGATTTCAAGGGCATCAGGAGACAACACTCAAGGAAGGCTCAAAGAAATTTATTCATTGACAGGAGTTAAGAAATAATTATAATGCAATTTAATGCAAAGGTGCAAGCGAGCTGGACAAGAATGACGAAAGTAATCCCTGGAGAAGGGGAACAAGAGGGACAAAGGACAAACATAAATCTCCAAACACAGCTAGGTGTTAGGAGCTAACCAGGGATTACTTTCGTCATTCTTGTCCAGCTCGCTTGCACCTTTGCATTAAATTGCATTATAATCATTACCTTAAATTGCAAGCTTCACCCTTGTTGGTGTTAGACTGGTGGCGGCTGATAAAACCCATTTGCTCTACTGATGTCTAACCCCTGGTTAGCTCAATTGGTAGAGCGCTCCACCTGTAATGGAGAGGTCCCGGGTTCGATACCCGGACCAGGCGGATTTTTTCGGTCGCTCACCAGTCACCTAGCTGTGTTTGGAGATTTATGTTTGTCCTTTGTCCCTCTTGTTCCCCTTCTCCAGGGATTACTTTCGTCATTAAGAAATAAGCTCCTTTTTGGCAAGAATTTCTCGTTCTACAGCAGCTATAGCTGCTTCCTTTTCTTTTGCTGTTCGGCGAGAACTATTGGCCTTGGCCAAAAGAGTCAAGTCATTCTTTGCCTCGGCGTCCTCTGAGAAGCAATCCGTCGACTCGAGCAGGCACTTCAGAGTTTTCTCGAGTTCCAACTTCCTCTCATGCATTCCCTCCAGCTCCTTTTCAACTGCTTTCCTCTTCAAACTTTTCTGCTCACTGGCTGCTTTTTTCTTGCACTCTTCTAAGTATGCAGCATACCTCTGCCTTGCTAGGCGTACAGAGGACTTTAACTCCTTGGACAGTGGAATACTAAGCAGAACACCGTGGTTTTTGATAGCGTCGCAGATGATCTGTTGAGAAACATATGAAATCTCTGCCAAGTTTTCAATGGCAATCTGCTTGTTAACACTAAAACCCCTTTCAACGGAAGCTTGGCCATGACTGAGCAGAAGGAGCAGCTTTAGTGCTTCCCACAATGTGGAAAAGGAAGTGCCATACTTTGTCAGGAGCACAAAAAACTTATCAATACGCTCTTGGCTTCTTAAGTAGACTTACAGTTCATGTCAAAACCCGTGACAAAAATTGACATACTGCCCACAAACCAGGTCTCTCTTGTGCTCAGAAAAAAGGTTTGCATCGATAAGGCAATTCAAAACAACTGTGAGCTTCCCAAGGCATTTTTCTGTTTTCAACATTTCCCTGGGATCAAAGCAGGGCAGCCCTCGGACAATTGGGTACTTGAGAAAACTTTTTTTCAAGAAGCTTCAATGTCGTTTCAACAAGAAATTTGCGACACTCAAATCTAAACTCCAGGATGCATTTAGGGCTCGCCTTGCTGTTTTTAAATACAGTAAACTTTCGTTAGTTCGACCGTGGTTAATTCAACTTTTCGTTTATTTCGATCGTATTCAAAAGTCCCGGCGAGCGCCCATGCATTTCTATGGGAGGAAAAGTTCGATAGTTCGAACTCCGGAAGACTCCGCATCGGATAATTCGTCCCAAGTGAAAGCCCGCGGGCTCACTTTGCACGGCACCACGGCAAAAAAACCACCAACATACGGTAAAACATGGACCCTTTGCTGCAAAGCCGAACGTGCGCAAATATGCGTTCGCTCCTATACGCCGTTGAGATGGACCGTAGCAAATGACACGAGCCAGCGCAACCAATCTGGCGTGGAGTAGCGCGGAGAACATAGCACGTGGTCAAGCGCGGAGACAACGAGCGCTCTCAAAGCGCTTTCTGTAGCATCGTGTACGGTCCATCTTGCGCGCCGAAAAGCGCGGGTTCTTTTTTAATTTTTTTTCTTTTGTTACTTTTCTCTGTCGCCGATGATCTGGCCGCCCGGCGCCAAAATCGGCTCCTAGAGCTTTCTATGCGCGCGCTCTCAGAGCCCTTTTTTCTTTGTAGCATCAAATGCGGTCCATCTTGCACGCCGGAAAGCGCGGTTTTCTTTTTCTTTTTTATTTTTTGTTGTCATTTGTTTTCTGTCGCTGACGGTCCGGCTGCCCGGTGCCAAAGTCAACTCGTGAAACTTTTTTTTTTTTTTTTTCTTTTTTTTGTGCGCGATTTTTTGGGGACGTGACGTTTAGTTACGCTGCTCTCCGGAGCATGCCTTTGGACACGCGTTTTAAGCGCAGATGGCAGCACACCATCCGTGAGTCTTTCGGACAATAAAAGAAAGTTTAATTTTAACCGTTTTTCTGTTCTTTTTTTAATTCAATCACTCGAATAATTCGATTAAATTTCAAGGTCCTGGCAAGGTCGAATTAACGAAAGTTTGTTGTATTTTCTCTGCTGCACAACCAATGTCCAGTTCCTCCAGTTGTGTGTAGCTGCCAGGATCCTTGGGATCAATTTGTAGCAGCTTGGTGATGCTTGTGGCTTGGGTGATCAAAGAACACTTTACAAACCTTGTCACGAGGGTCCTGAGAATGCTCTCAAGATCTTTTGCCAGAAGAAATGCCATGGGTGCATCACTCTTTTTGAGAGTGAGGAACGGCTGCACAATCATTGCAACATTGAAGCAGAAGTGGAGTTTTGCGAGACCGAGCTGGTCCTTCATAAAGGCGCTGATAGTTTCGTATGACCTGCTGTTAGGCAGGGGCAGCTTGCAGTTTCTGGTGGCTTCCATGTATTTTTCCAGGTGCTCCCACAATGACAGGGCCCTCTCAAGGACTGGTACGTTCTCCACCCAACGGTGGGGAACAAACGGAAGGGGAAACACAGAGTGTTCTGTCTCCGCAACGAAATTGTCTCGGCGGGTTGGTGCATCAGGGATCAGCGAGTATGAGCTCGTAAAAAGCTGTCAACATGCCAGTTAGTAGCTTGCAGCCCTGTTTTGTACGCGTTGTGCATAGAATGCAGCTTACGTGATCCGACATCCAAACAGTGTACTTGAAAGTTGCTCCTCAAGTGCTGCTGGAAGCCATGAAAAAGTTTCCAATTCACATCGGGGCCATTGAAAGCTGCATGACCTTGTTCAACGGAAGAGACGCAAGGCTCTCTGTCAACTTCTCAAAAAGGTCAGCTGCTGTGCTATGACCCAGAAATGATGACATGAAGTATTTGGTTGAAACTTCATCGTTGTTCCAAAGCCGCATATGAAGGTCCAGCTGCTTTTTCTGAAGGTACTCTCGTTCATTGTTTCGTCGAAGAGCACCACAAAGTGTTCGGATTGCTGAACCAGGTCGTGCACTTGTGAAGCAAAAAAGCTTTCGCAGTCCGTGGCATGCTATGTAAGAACACTTTTTTTTGCTGCAGCTGAAGCTTCTTCCAATTTCGCTATCGGGAAACATTCTTTGAAAAACGTTGGCAACGTCCCGACAGGAGTTGTAGGAGTAGTGAGACGACACAGCCTTCATCGTCCGCAAAATCTCCGCTTCAACAACCATTTCGTGCTTCTGACAATCCGTGTCAAAGGTCGCGGCCCGTGAGGTACTTGCATCTGCACGCTGGTGCCTGGGCGTATCCGACGCCAGGTCCGATGCTGGTAGATAAGAGGTGATAGACGAGCTGGAAGCAGCTGATTCGGCTCCAGATCGATGCTTTGCGCTTTTCAAATAACTCTTCCAAGCGCTTTCACCCATTGTGGCGACATCAAACGACTTCCGACAGATCGTGCACTTCGCTCGAAAGTACCGTATTTACTCGCATATACACTCCGTGCGACGCGACTGGCGCGCCGCCGCGCGGCCGGTACCGAAGGTAGGCAGTGAGAACCCCAGAGAAAACGAAACCGAAACCACGCTGCGTACGTTGGTACGCATTGAAGTCGGAGCGGTACGTGCGGTTGCGCTGGGTTAACAGCATGAAGTGCTGCCTGTGCTGCGTCATTAAGTGCTTCAATAGTTATGCGTACTATCTCGTGGGGATAAAGTTTCACAGCTTTTCACCTCGCCGATGTTTTGTGGGACAGCGACAACGATGGACCCGTGCCGTACTACGCGAGAAATTCGGTCTCCCGATCATGTCTGTCACTGTGTCGGCACGGCTGACATACTCTACACTGCCGTTTTGCGCTCTGCGTGTGTTTTCGTACCAGTAACGCCTACATGTGTTAGCGCCGAGGGGACGAACTGAAATTGCATTTCACACTCGCGGGTATGCAGTGCCAATTTCGTTGGGGGAATGCCCTCCAAAGAAGTTTTGTCCCCATCGTACGCGTCGGTGATATTTCCGGACAAGTATGGCACGAAATCTGTACTTCATGGAGAAAGATTCGAACAGTAAAAAAAAAGTGACAAATATTAATCTAAAAAACAAACAAACAATGAAACTCGGAATCACTGGAGAATCGACGTTTGAGTATGGAAGTTTATGTGGTGTGCTTTCTTTCTTGATCAGCCTTCTTTTGGATGTGGAAACGCTGACACCCCGAGTTCTGTAGACAACAATTTTTTTTCTCGGCTTTAAAGCCACCTATCGCAAAGTGATTCGAACTGGAAGTACCGGCCACTGGTCCTTTCCTACCTGTAAAGTCTGCACCTCCCATGATGAGTGGTATTATCTTGACAGCCTTTGACGGTTAAAACCAGTTCCCATCTAGTTACGCCGCCCAAACTAAATTTCCACCTGGTTTCGCTATGCCAACTCTTTTTGGTTTAACAAGTGTTGTGTCAAGTTACGGTCATGTCAAAGTACCTGTGCGCCGAAAATCAGCACCTCGCACAACAAGTTATTACACAACAGCTGACCGCAAAAGCCCTTGACGGCCAAACCGTGTGTTGGCCGACAACTTTGTTTTCTCGGCTTTGGAACCACCTTTCATAAAGTTGTTTCAATTGGAAGTACAGTCTACTAGTCCCTTTTTACCTGTAAAGTCTCCACCTCCCACGACCAGTGGTATTCTCTTGACAGCCCTTTCATGGTCAAAACCGGTTCCCATTGAGTTACGCCGCCCAAACCAAATTCCCGCTTGGTTTCCCTATGCCACCTCTTTTTGGTATAATAAGTGCTGTCTCGTGTTACTGTCAAGTTCAAGCACCTGTGTACCTAAATCTGCACTTTGCACAGCCCGCTATAACACAACATTTTGGGTCCAATATTGGATATTCCGTACAGCTTTATTTCTTTATTCGTTAGAAACATAACTTTCACACCTGCTGTCTTAATGAAACTTGGCACACTTCGTGCACAAACTTAGTGAACATCTCACTTGCCTCCAAATATCATCGTTCCAGCAGTCCAACGTTTACAGCGACGAGCCAGATAAATTTCCCACTCAGAGCAATTATAGTGGCGCCTGTCTTGCTTTTCGGAAAATTGCTCCAACTTTTTTTTCAGCGGCAACTAGAGATATTACCCCTAATAACGACTCAAACTCAATATATAAGAAGTGAAGAACAGCTACCTTCTGCCCCAGCACTCATGCAACGTCACCTTCAACGTATCGGCTCAAAAAGCAAAAGTTTCGTGCGTGCGCGCTTCCGCCGCCGCAGCTTGGCATGCGAAAAGGCGCCGCAGGCTGCTGAACGCGCCTCACTGTCGAACGCCAGCTCCTCCGCTAGCGGCGCTGCGCGCGTTTTTCAAAGCGCCCCCTATAGTTCCCGCACGGAGCGTATAGGTCGACCTGTTTTTCAAAAATCGCCTCATCAAAACTGGGGGGTCGACCAATACGCGAATCCCGGTATTATATTTTTCAACTTTTTTTTTTTTTCGGGGGTCCCGAAGTTAGGGGGTCAACCTATACGACGTATCGACCAATATGCGAGTAAATACGGTACTCATCCATATCTGGTTTCACCCACTAGCGATAGTCTTTGTGCTCCAGCCAAGAAGGCTGGAACTTAAACTTTGAACCCAGCATATAGTCTTTCTATCTTGATTGAAAGTGTCTCACACTTACCAACACGATCCTCAACACAAAGCAAAAATGGCGACAGCATGGGACACCTTGGATTGGATTGGCTTTATCCTTTAGATCAAACAACATGCCATGTTGCCAGACAATGCGGCCCCATTTACGCATTTGTTGGAGGATTTTCAAGGAATACAAGGATCGTTTTAACTTTCAAGGATATTTAAGCACCCTAAAAAGGCTTTTAACAAAATCCCGGGTATTCAAGAATTTCAAGGAGCTGTATGAACCCTGAAATTAGCAAACGAAAGGATACTCACCTCGCATTTTTGCTTGAGCTGCGAACTGGATTCAAACTCTTCTGACTCGGACACCACCACCTCCGCAGCAACCTCGACCGGCTGCTGCGAGTTGCAGTCCACCTCTTGCAGAGGCGGCGTTCTACGCCCGCCGCTGTTGTGCTCCATCTCCCGGGCCCTTGTGCCCGCTTCTCCTTCGCACGCATTCTCCACGTCTCGCATGTCGTCCTCCGAGTCGAGGATGATGACCGGAGCACGCGCTTCTCCACTTCCCGCTGCTGCAGGGGCCTCTTTGCAACGCTGCCAGAGACAAGGCGTAGGAGACATCAAGCAACCTTCTGGCTGTAAGTTTGTGGAGTGCTTACGTCGAATTTAACACGCTTGTTTCGGCATGTGCAAACTGTGAAATTTTAATTCGACGCGAGCTGTGGTTTGCGCCGAATATCTTTGAATAGAATATTGAATAGTTTCTACGAGCCTTTCGCTACCGTGCACCGTGCTTAAACGAAAATTCAGCTGGACTTGTGAAGGGTGCTTCCAAGCTTCCACTTGTTCACTTTGAGGCTCGGTTATTATTAATATAATTACATTTATGAACTGTGGCATGTAAACAACAGATTTGTTAAAGCTAGCCTAATTAGGGGGATTTATAAATCTGCTCGCCGTATTCACACATTCTTTCAATTTCAAATTTCACAAAAAACACTATGAACCATTTTACTCTGTGCAGGTGGATGACCAGCGAAGCTGTTTAGCACACGACACAGAATTTTGAACAAAGGTGCAAACACATTTATTGTCTTGGTCGGGAGAGTGGAAGGAAAGGAAACTAGGCACGGAAGCGGTTGGACCGACGACAAAGAGAGGGCGGTGTGAGCGTAGACATGGCCAACTCGGGTCGCACAGCGGCAAATCTTTGAGAAACCTTTATTATCTACCTGAGCCTACTGATCTTGAAAATGCTGCCTATTGATAACTAATCTACTGAAAATGCATATCCAAGTGATGAGGCATATAAGCTTTTGCATAGAATGAAGTGATTTTGCATTAAATTCGGGACCGGAGTTCTTGTTGACGCACATAAAAAATCCACGGAACCCAGCCATAAACAGCTTTGCTGTAAAACAACACCAGTGATGTGATTGGCCAGAGTTGTTTCGGAACACCTTTTGAAGCAACCGAAAGTCAGTTTGGGAGGAACAAAAAAGGCTCTTGTATCGTAAGCACACATTTTATTTATAATTTCTGTGTTAATATTTTAAAGTGTTTGTCTACTTTGCCTTCTTGCCTCTGTGCAACCTTTTAATGGCATCAACAGCACGACACGTTTGATTCCCTAGCTAGCAGTTTAACTGCGCGTAGAAGCACAAGGTATGGTAACAAAGTGCTGATTGAAGGGCAGTACAAACTGCTGTGCATGGTTATTTTAGGTACATAATCAAACATAAACCAAGTAGTAAATTCCACCGAAATAATGGTACAATATAATAATTCGGAGCATCCAAGTTAATGTTTTCTTTAAGTTTTAAGCTGTAATAGGACTGAAGTTCTTAATTTAGATAGAAAACCAAGCTATTGTCTTGCCAAGCTTGCTTAGGTTTTTCCCATGCTTGCATTCACTGCTTTAGCTAATTTAGTTTTAACTTACTGTATACTGTACCATTGAGCGGTGGAACCTACATAAAGGTAATAATGAAGTGCGAGTTGTCGTAAAAAATAAACTTACACAGCAGCCCATAAAAGATTTTTTCGCAAGAGTCAAGTTTAGCATGCGGGTGCGCTGCAGCGAGACAATATATGCAAAATTGCGATGCCCACTACAGCGGAACCTCGATTATGCGTCCCCGGTTTACGTGAAACACCAAATTTTACGACGAATATGCCAGGTCCCAACGAACTCCCCATAAATATAACGTATTAAAAGTTTGGTTTATACAACACGCGATTCTACGTGTCCCGCGTCTTCAGCGGGAAATGCGCAACGAATTCGATGGCTCTGTGAGGAGAGGGGCAGTGGCGTGGCAACGCAAAAAGAGTTCTGTGCGCCTGCGCGCTGTTTCAGAGGATCCAAAAACACGCCGCCGGCAACTTAAGACAGCCACAGCACCAGGAGGGAGCAGGAGACAGCGCCTTCCCTTCTCCTCCCCAGGTTGTGAAATGCCTCGGCATTGTGTTGCGTCCTTGCTCCACTCATCCCATCATCCTCTCATGTTTACCCTAGCTCTCCTCTGCATGCCACTTTCTCCAACTCGTTGCTTCTCCCAGGATTGAGCCAGCTTCCGCTGGTTCCCGCCGTTCTTGCTTTCAGAAAGCGTGAAAAGCGACAAGGATCCCATCGTCGTAATTGTGCACACCGGCAAACAATGTCTCGCAAATGGACACCATTGACGACGGGAGAGCAGGTTATTAGCTTAAACATGATTTAAAAACCTCCACTTGTCCTTTTTGCATGGGGCCGATCACTGTATCCATAATTATAGTTTTTTGGGATGATACGACTCGCAGATCATATGACAATTTCGTGCCGTCCTGCAAATGTCATATAATCAGGGTTCCACTGCATACGATTGCTGCTTCACGGCAGTACAGGACTGCATGGTGATAAGCACACTTAGCGATGCTGGCCATTCACTTCCGAGTACTGTCAACGTCTGATGCAGAGATCAAATTGAATATGATGTTACCCAAGGCGATAACCGAAAGTTTTGGAAATTTACAGAAGTCTACCATAACGATCCAGCAATTTAGCGGGGCCTGATTTATTATATATTCGGTAGTAATAAAGCGAAAATATGTTTTGGCTCAATGTTGGCATAAATTTCTCACATTTTGGCAAAGTGCAGCAGGATGCAGCAGGGTAAGTGCTTTCGCACAGGTTAACGGAAAAGGCGCAGCAATCACATCACCGCAACAATGAACGAATGTTCATTTGTTGCGGTGAACGAATGTGAATGAACTCAGGTTGAGAAGTCATTGCTGCTTAACACATACCCTCGCATAATTGTGGCGGGCTGACCCTGTTGAGTGTGCTTATCACCAAGTACCCATGCAATCTGGGGAAGCGATAACTATGGTGCCAGTGAGCTCTGCGGCTATTGCTTTCTTGCAGTGCACAGGCGCCCAATGAGAAGTACACACCACGGGGCTATTTCTCGGCAACCAACACCTCGAAGCGAGTAACTCGGAGCAAATATAGAAGAGCCCATTATACGAAACGGCTATTAAAAAATTCAAATTTATGCACCACCCTAACATTGCTTGAACTCAAGCTTCACGACAGAGGCTCCCGCTCGATGGAAAACCGCTGCACTCATTGCACATCTAGTGCGGTTTGCAGTCGTCACTGCATGACTGACGAAAATCATTCATAGTAAATACAAAAAAACAAAATTGATGTATCTTAATCCTAGGGGGACATGAGACACAAAATAGGCAGTGCGCTTGGAGCTGCACGGGGCTGTTCACGACTTCCGCACCTGTTAAAGTGCATGTGAAATAAATAGTTGCGCGAGAGTTGCTCTCAGTGCCATCTACCGGCCTTCAAAAGCATTGTCGATACTTACACTTTCCCGGATTATGCATCTATCGTGGACGCCTGAAGAATGTATCAAAGAGGTCCTACCCTATTTCCTGAATTCAACACCCTCATTTTACTTACAGCCACTAAATGAGTTACGCTTCAGGGTAACGATGCTTTGGCCATCCTGGTGCTCAAAATCCAAAACTTCGCCTCAAAATCGCAGCAAATGGGAACAATTAAAAAAAAAAATTGCTCAGCCTTTTCACTCTCGTGAAGAAGGAAGACCAGCGGAGTTGTACTCGATACACTGTGTGCTTCTTCTTCGTCGTTGTCTGTTTTTCGCGCTGTTTCTTACGATCGATTCCCATCAACGTGCCCAACTATCTATTCTTCTATTATAGCTGGAAAGGTTGCCACCATCTACGAGCGCACCAGAAACTAAACTGGTTGTGTGCTTGCTGCCGTCGCTTATAGATGGCAGTAGCTGTCCAGGTAGGTTTGTGTCGACATAGACGGACACAATCCTGGGGAACCTAGCCCTTAACAGCTCCACTGTAAAATCCCAGACAGAGGAAGATGATGTCACCTCCACTTCCCAACACTGTTCTCAAGGTCCAGAAAGTCACATTTTCAAACTGCAACCGTCGTCCATTGCGCCCGCTCAGCACCGAGCACCGCAATGGCGGCACCCACGAGACACCCAAGACACAAAGTGCCGACAGTCTGAGCGTAGCTTACTCGATGGCTCCGGTCTTACTGGTAGCGGACAACTGACGGCACCTCGCACAAAACCGACACGACTTTGTGACTTAAGTTCCATTTAAAGTGTGCTACGCTACCTCATTCAGTGCAGGTGTGCATATGATGAAGTCCTGAGAGTCCAAGCCACTTTGGGACAGGTTGTTGTACATGGCGGGTAACGACCTGGAAGGAAACGCCCAAGCTTTGTGAGAGACAAAAAGCCGCTGATTGGGCCGCAAAACAGAGCCTATGCATCACCTGCAGACGCACACAAAAAATAGAAAGGCACTTGCATTACTATGTATCGATCGAACCGTCATACATCACGTACTTGCATGACAAACACGTCATTTTTTTCCGAAAAATTGACACAGATTTAGGGGGTGCGTTCATTGCGCGGGGTAAAATTTTGTGCATTTACACATATTGTATGTGATCTTACGTGCCCATCTGATGGGGGCCATTGCCGTGGCCCGTCTCCAATGACGGAGACAAACCCACGGCTGGACGCACCGCAGTGACTGTGCTCAACGAATTGAAAACCTTGTTATGGTGCTTTCAGCATTCTCTTTAAAAAAAAGCGCCTTACAAAGCTTACTTGGCACGGAGAGCGCCGCGAGTGTTCCTAGGCTTAACCACTTTCCTGACCTCGCCGCCTGAAAGCGGACCGCAAACGACAGCGCGTTTGTTGACATAGATGCATTCTACGATCTTCGAAGGCTGGGAAATTCCTTGAACCCAGCTTTGCTGGCTGTGCATGCCACTTGGCAACGCTGTTGATCACTTCCACAGCTTCCCAACTCGAGCCATAATCCACACGTGTGCTGCCATGCTTGGCTTGACCTGGCTGCTTGGCGGCTTAAATCTACTTGGTGGCTGAATGGGTCGGCACAGCTCAAGACTTGCAGAGACAAAATTTAAAAATGCATGAGAAAAAAAAGAAGGCTTGAGGTACACCTAAGCACTCCTTATGAGTTGGGAATGCAAAAGCATGAATGTTGTTTTTTTTGCTCCCTTAGTTCGTGTGCGGCGTACTGGCGTGGTCGGCCGCATTTTGCAACTGCCGAGCTTGCGGCTGTAGGCCGAGTGTGCATTCTCGTGAAGTGGACGCGCCGCGCTGACATCGGCTGTGCAGCCGCTCCGGAGCCTGCCCGAGCGGGCTCCGGGGGGCCCCGCAGCCAGCCGCCTCCTTTTACAGGCGCATTGCAGCGAGGGTCTGCAGCCATGGGGTGGCACCGCTTCTTGAAACTAACGCGCGCCTGCCAATGGGAGCCTCGTTCCTTGAAACTATGACGCGCGCCAGCCAATGGGAGCCTATTGATCAGATTTCGGCTTCACTTTGGTCCTTTTGGAGAGCTGAATCTAGCTACCGTTTTCCGCGGCTTTTTGGACGGCTTCAAAGCTGAGAGTCTTCAGATCGCGGCTTCACTTCACTCTATTGGAGAAGGGTAGTTTAGCTGCTGTTTGGCGCGGCTTCAAAGCTGACAACGTCGGCTTGCTCCATGGGACAGTTAATGCTTTTGCATAAAAAATATTGATGACTGTTGTGGGGGTGCGTACATTATGAGAGTACCGTAAAGTTCCGAGAGAACGCCTGCCCCTCAGAAATTGCCCATATCGTTTTTCTGGCTAAATATCTGTAACATAAAAATTCCGAAACATCGCCCACCCCCCGACTCCAGTCGGACATCACGCGATGCCCAACAGGAATCACACCAACCGCGCAATTTGCTGTACCGACACGTCTGACAAGCGAGTTCACAGCGGGTTGCCGCGTTTTTGTCTGCGATCTGTGCGCGCGATATCGGCTTCCGTAACATGCGAGTTGTTCCCGCGTGTATGTTGCACTGTGAAATTCGAATGTGCTGCGTCCGCAATCTGTGCTTTCTATTCCCGGAACATAGTTAGTAGCGGATTCCCGTATTTTTGTCCACGATCTGCGTGTGCAATCTCGATTCCACGCGAGTTGGTCCCGCGAGTATATTGCATCGTGAAATATGATTCTGCTGCGCTCACGATCTGCGGTATTTGTTCCCGCAACATACAAGTTAGTAGCAGATTCCTGCGTTTCTGTGCGCATGATCAGTTCCCGTGACAGGCAAGTTTGTAGCGGGTTCCCGTGCTTATTGCACCATAAAACTTGAATCTGCTGCGTCCGCGATATTCGTTCGCATCAAATGCGAGTTCTCGGCGAGGGGTCCTTCGCACTGTGAAAGGCGAATCTGCTGTGTCCGCAACCTGTGCTATCCTTTTCCGTGACACGGGAGTTTGTAGTGAATTCCCGCGTTTTTGTCGCATCATGAAACGCAGATTTGTGGTGTCCGCGATCTGTGGTATCAAATCCCGCTTCACATGGTTTGTAGCCGTGCCAGGATGTTTATCATTAATTTTTGATAAAGTTTTGCTGTGGCACCCCTAAAGATAGCCCACACCATGTTTTTCACCATTTATCTCTTCATTTTGGGTAGGCATTCTTTTGAAACTTTAGGGTAAATATGGTATGCAGAATGGTGATATACAAGAAACAGTGGGTTTTCATTCCTTTTTTAACTGGCATGCCGAATAATTGTGTGACATCTAGCGACATTGTGGTGTGACATCACACCATGTGGCACAGCGTCACGTGACACTGTAACACCTTGCAACGTGGTGAGATTACCTAATGTCCTGTTACACGACTTGACACCCAAGATTCCTAGATTCAATAAAGTCGTTAACACTGTGATGTCACATGCTGACTAAGATGTTAACTTGGATTACAAACATGCAATCCAAGTTGGCTTTCCTTACGAATGCAGTTCTGAATTACAACACAGGCTTGGGTAAATTCGGCCCCCACACTATTAGGTCAAGGACAGTCTGGCTCCAGAATAACTGAATTGCCAGAACAGTGATACCCTTCTACACCGGTCTGACCTCTGGCAAATTACAGCTGTATCAAATATATTCAGTGATTGCTCGCAAGAGTAATTTTCACACTTGTTTTTTCACTCCAGTCGCTCACTTCAAAAAGTACTGTTGCTAGAAAGGAAAGGATAAATGGCACCACAAATTCAAATTCTTGCCACTGCACATGCACTAAAAACATTTCCCGGTCCCTACTCAGAGTGGAGGTGCATTACCTTCTCTCCCGAAATACTTCGCGCTGGTGTTCTGTCAGTGCAGTGGATTTCTTGACAGGAGATGCAATCTGCACAAATTCCTGCAACAAAGAAGAACAAGGTTTCAGATCGGAGCAGAAACACCGAAAGCTCATCCAAAGACTCAATAAAAAGGCAGATGTTGCAAACAAATTAATTGACTAATTTCTAAGAAAGTTCAGACCTTTTGCAAAAACAAAAAAATTGCCGGAATTTGCTGGGAGAGGGCTCGCAGGCCTGTCTGCAAGCGGAGACGAAGGCATGTAAATTGGAATGAATTACTCTGGCGATGCAATTAGAGAGCGAAAGATAAATATTACATCTGGACAAAATCACCTGATTAGCATCAATAAACCCAATTAAAAAATTCTGAGGACACCTAAGCAGTTCTTATGAGCCGTGAATGCGAAAGCATGAATGTCGTTCTTTTGCTCCTTTCCGCAATGTACTGGCGTGGACGGCCACGTTTCACTACTGCCGAGGTTGCCGAGAGCGCGCTCTCGTCAAGTGCCCGCGAATGGCTATCTAGGAGCCGTTTTGTTCAGCCAATGAGCTTTTGTTTGTAGTTACAGACGCCACGAGCTCCGCTCCATGAGATAGCTGATGCTTTCACATGAAAAAAATATAGTCGAGAGCAACACATTTCACCTCAGTTCTAGCAACCAGCAGACATAAATTGCCGGACCTGCCATGAGCACACAAGGCAAGGAACACAGCACACTATAAACAACACCAATTCCGAAGTTTCACCGAGGTCGTCGACTTCAAATGCATTTAAAAATTCACTCAATGTAACTCCAGGGTAAATCCAGGGTTAAAGAGACACTGACAGGGTATTTACGCTCGCCAAGGTTTTTATTTGTACATGACAGATAAGAGCCCACCTACCCAAAACACAATTTGTGGCAAAAAATTCTTGTAGTGTTTGCTACACTGGCCGAGGTTGAGCAGTTTCGCATGGCTCCCAAAGAGCTGTGCTGCGCAAGCACGAGGAGCAGTGACATGACACGGCACACAGCTGGTGCGCCGGAGACACCGCCGCTACGCATTCCGCCGCACGCGCCTCGCCGGTCTGCGCATGCGCGAGGAGCAGTGACGTCACACGGCGCACAACTGGAGTGCCGGAGCCATTGCCGTGCACTCCGCCGCCAACACGCGCGCCTCGCCGGTCTGCACATTCTAGAGGAGAGACGTCATAGCCGCAGCAGACGCACTGGCGCTGCCGCGTGCCCAGCTGTCCGCCACCGTTGCGCAGTAGCCAAGTCTGTTGCTGCACTGGAGCCGCTTGATAGCCCCTCTCATTTTGTGCACATAAGCTCATGCTACATATATCCTGGCATAGCCGAGCTAAGCCACCGCAATTTTTTTACAGCGGAGCTGTTAAGGGCTAGGTTCCCCAGAATCGTGTCCGGTATCAAACGCCTGTCGACACAAACCTACCTGGACAGCTACCGCCATCTATAAGCGACGGCAGCAAGCACACAGCCAGTCTGGTTGCCGCCGTCGCTCGTAGATGGCGGCAACCTTTCCAGCTATCATAGAAGAATGGATAGTTGGGCGCGTTGGTGGGAATTCATCGTAGGAAACAGCGCGAAAAACGGACAACCACAATGAAGAAGCGCTCGTCACGTGTTTTTCTTCGTCCTCGTCTGTTTTGCATACTGTTTCCTACGCTCTTATCAGTTTCGGTTTGGACTTAGGGTGGGTCGGCCGCGCGCCCTTTCGGGAAAAGAAGACTGGCTGCAGAAGGAGCGGCGATGTACGCAGCAGCGCAAATGGGGGTCCGTAACCGCCGCAAAGTTGCTGTTGCCTCGAATTTCACTGCGTCGAGCGCTTCAGACTCCCGTGCCGAAGAGGAGCACACTGCTCACCTGGAAAGCCTCCGCCGAGAACAGAACCAGCGATGTAAAGGGCACCGGCGGGCCAATGCCACGGACGATGATCGTGCCACGTAGGCCAAGTGCAAGCGCGAGGCCCGGCGACGACCGCACTCCACACCGGCTGAACAGTTCCCGGGCGCGACAGCGAGGTTTCGGAGGGAGTTTGTGGATTACCCATTTGGCGTCACATGTGCCGTGTGCGACCGACTCTAGTGCGCCGGAGACGTATCCACAATCAGCGGCGTGTTGGACCGTCGGTGGTGATCGGACGAGAAGAAGCGGTAAACGGGCGTGTGCCCATTGTGGCAATGCATCGAGTACAGCTCCGCTGGTCTTCCTTCTTCACGAGAGTGGAAAGGCTAAAGGTTGTTTTTTTTTCCTCCCGAAAACCGTTAATCAGGAAGTGGCCGGTTTGAGTCACGCTCACTGTCTCCCTTGTGGTCACTGGTCACAGGCTGTCCAGACACAACCACCAAATATATTTAAAATAGTGGGTCATCAAAAACACACGCTCAATATACATGTATATACAGTCGAACCCGGACGTATTGAATTCAAAGGGGATCGTAAAGTAGCTGATATATCAATAATTTGATATACAAAAATATGTTAACTTAAGCTCCAGTTGAAATTTCCGCGCTTCTCTGCTAATACCGAAGGCCGCGACAAACGGGACCTTACCAAATGGAGCCACTAAGAGTCGCTAAATACCCTAGAGCTTAGCTGGTAAAGATCACAAACACCGCCGCGTTTACGCCACAATGTTTGCGATCGTTTACGCGCACGCGACCTTCGCACATCACCAACGGCAAAACACAAATTAAAAAAAAAAAATGAAAGAACGGAAAAAGCAAGTCGTATTAAAAAAAAAAAAAAACACTCGATCCATAGAATAAAGTTAAAACAAAAAAGGAACCTCACTAAATTCAAGCAACAAAAAAAAAAAAAAAAGAAAGGAAAAAAAAAAGAGAAAAAAAACGCGCAAAGCAAAAACGGCGAAAGAAAAAGGTAAACGAAGATAACGCGTTCAAAGTACGATTGCTCAATCGTTGTCGACACACTCGACTTAAAAAACTTTTTTTTTTTTTTTTTTTTTTTTTTTTTTTTTGCGTATTTTATTTTGGCTCCCTGCCCTCCCTACGCGCGCGAGTGCCCTTCCGTTCGCTTTTGCCATCCTCCACTTTTTTTTTTTTTTTTTCCGTTGCTCTCTTTTTTTTGACAACTGCTTTTTTTTGTTGAGTATCCCCGTGATCCCCGTGCGCGTATGCTGGCTTGGCGGTCTGCCAGCCCGGCAACGCGAGCTTGTGCTCCGCGGGCGGCGCAATCTGACCTGGGGAGAAGCGAAGGGCCGCCGTGCTTAGTTCGCTATATCGAGTGTCCCCGCCATGGGAGCCCATGGGAGTTCGATACAAAAAGACAACGCTCCTATACTATTACATGTGATTTTCAAGGGGATGTTTGGACTGTTCGATATAAGCAATAATTCGAAATACCCGGGTGTGATATAACCGGGCTCGACTGTATATAAGAAAAAAAAATGACTAAATTTTTTTGGCTTTGTCAGTGATGTGATTGGCCTAAGCCATTTTGGAGCACCTTTTGGAGCAGCCAGAACAGTATTCTGGAGCAGCAAATGTGGCCTTGGGAGCAGCCAAGACAGTGTTTTGGAGCAGAAAAAGTGACTTTCGGAGCATATATTCTTAGAAAAATAAATATTTGTTTTAAGTGCTGGACAAACGAACGGCACTTTGTGTTGTGTTGTGATGTGACGTGTTGGGGCGAAACTCGCTGCTTGTGATTTTGCTGCTGAGACATCTCACAAGTATACAGTGCTGTAGGCGCTGCCAAGCAATTCCGAAAAAAAAAAAAAAAGACTTGCTATTGTTTTATTGGATCCCGACGTGGCAGATTTCTATAAAAAGTAAGCAAACGTAAAAAAAATGGATTGCAAGCGTCCCGGCTGGTGCCTCCCATGCAAATATGTTCACATGCACGTGAGGGAAACTTCGGCAGGCTTGCACTTACAGGTGCTTCGTCGTGCGAGCGGAGACAACGGCTGTTCGACCGAAACCATGCCACTCCGCTACGTCGCCAACTGGTCCCAAAATAGTATGCAAAATGTAACTGTCCAGCATATGACAATAAACAGTCTAGCGGCGCATGCTTGCCAGGCCAGCAGGCAAGGTACAGGCTAAACACACAGAAAAAAAGAACCTGAGCGTATCGATGCAAGACATTGCCAATCAGAGTCAAAATGTTTTTGGAGCGCTTTGTGCAACGACTGATTTCGAGACAAAAAAGCGCGGTGTGCGGGTTTAGCGTGCAGACATTGCCTTCTTTGCTTTAGCTTACTTCTCTTTACCTACTTTCTTTCGCGGCATATTTTTCACATACCGGGGTCCCTCTCGGAAGAAAGCCCACCGAGAAAAACCTCGTTAATCAGAACTTCGCCAAGCAGTCATTGAGTTAAAGAAAGATTTTTATAGCAGCGTATGATTTAAACAAGCGCAGGAATGTCGATGCGCTTCAGTGCCGTAATCACGTCGCTGCATATCTGCAGTGACGTGGGGACGGCAACACACGGCATCGCGCGACCACGGCGATTATAATCGCGCGAGCGCTTCAGCTTACAAAGTAACTCTCGCCGCGCAAAAATGTGGTTTTGTTTCACAGCATGACGGCATGTCTGGCACCCGGCACACTAACGTCGGAGCGTCCGCACACGCCCACGTCTATCGCTGAAAAAAAAAAAAAAAAAAGAAAAGGAAAAAAGACGCTAGATGAGATTCCCGAGACGACGGGAGCGCGAAACGCAAAACGGCGGGAGAAATCATGCAAGACCGAATGGACGATTGATGCAGGGTACCGTATTTGCACGATTCTAACGCACACTTTTTTTCCGAAAAAATTGTCCTCTAAATTGCATGCGTGTTACAATCGAAACCGAAAAAAAAAAAAAAAGTGGAAAAACAAGCTTGGCGTCAGATGGCTACCCGCATTGTTATGGACACTGGATCGCTGGGCTTTCACTGGATTGTGTAAGCTCTAAATCCAATCCAATCCATACGTCGTCACATGTTTTCTTCCTTCGCTTGCTTCGCCATTTTGCTTTTGTCGTTGTCGAACTTCAAAATGGAGAAGCAGAAGCGGTTTCACTACGAGGCTTCGTTCAAACGAAAAGT